TGAGAGATCGAAGCAGAGAAAGAGGAGAGCTTGATAGGTTAGGAGGTCGTCACGGTGTTTGGATTTCCACCATTTCCGCTCTGCTGCCCTAAGGACGGTTCTATTAGCACGCAGTGCATCATTTAGCCAGGGAGCAGGAGGGGACTGACGAGCCTGCCGAGATGTGAGAGGACAGAGCGAGACCAGAGTGGATGAGAGAGTAGAGAGGAGAGTTTCTGCAGCAGAGTTTGGAGGCAGGAGATGGAACGAATCAGAGGAAGGGAGGGCTGAGAGCACCGACGAGGCAAAGGTAGAGGGGGAGAGGGAGCGAAGGTTACGGCGGACAAGTGCAGGATGGGAAGAGATTAGTTTGTTATGTTTGGAAAGGGATAGAGAGAATGAAATGAAGAAGTGATCGGATGTGTGGAGCGGGTTTACAGAGAGGTTAGAAGTAGCGCAGTTCCTTGAGAATATGAGATCAAGGACATTGCCAGCTTTATGAGTCGGTGGGGACGGAGACAGTGAGAAAGCAAAGGCGGTTAACAGAGATGTTAGTTCGTCTATCTTCCCCGTCTGGAGGTTGAAGTCTCCGAGAAGTACAGCGGGAGGGCCAGTTTCAGGGATGAGTGAGAGGAGATTATCTAATTCCTCCAAGAAGTCCCCCAAGGCGCCTGGTGGACGGTAGAGAACAAAAATGGTTAACTGTATAGGATGGGTTACTGTGACGGCATGGAATTCAAAGGTAGAAGGAGTGAAGTTAGGTAGCTTGAAGAGGGAAAAGCTCCATTTGGGAGAGAGCAGGAGACCAGTGCCACCTCCTCTGCCAGTGGGTCTGGGTGTATGGGAGAAGGAATATGCAGTGGAGAGAGCTGCTGGGGTGGATGTGTTGGATGGAGTAATCCAGGTCTCAGTGAGAGCAAGGAAATCCAGAGACTGCAGGGAGGCGTAGCCAGAGATGAAGTCAGCCTTAGGAACAGCTGACTGGCAATTCCACAGGCCACCAGAAACTAGATGTTGGATCTCAGTGGAGCACGTGGGATAGACGAGAGCAGGCCGGTTATATCGATTAGGAGATACACGGGGCCAGTGATAATTGCGAGAAGACACATGAACAGGAGAAGACTTGTCTGAAGCACTCGTCATTGCTATATTGACGATTCATGGATTTAGCCACCAGCACGCAGCGCCTGTCATGGCCGCGCCAGCCCAGGCCCCAGCCCCTCGCGGCCTGAGACTCGATTGGCCCAAAGTTGATGTGGGCGTGTCGATAGAGGAATGGAACGTGTTCATCTGCCGTTGGGACGTATTCTGCGCCGGCTCAGGCATAGGGGATGCCAAGGCTCCCTTCCAGCTGTTTCAGTGCGCTGGGCCTGTACTTAGAGACAGCCTGTTGAAAGCCGCCCCCGACGCCGCTTCCGGACCCTTGCCAGACCTAATCACCGTCATGCGTTCCCTAGCTGTAATCCCAGTCGCTACATGCGTCCTGCGCACCGAGCTACTTCAGTTACGCCAGGAACGCGATGAGACATTCCGCGCATTCGCTGCCAGAGTGCGGGGTAAAGCAGAGACATGCGCATATAATGCGGTATGCAAGTGTGGTAAGGACGTGGACTATACCGACCACATTATCCTTGATGTTCTGCTCAATGGCATTTATGACTCGGACATACGCCGCGAGACGCTGGGGACACCTGACGTCCTGGTCAAGCCAGTTAACGACGTAATTGCACTCGTCGAGAACAGAGAGATGGCCCGTAACGCTCTCCCGTCGTCCTCCCTATCAGCCATGTCGTCATTCCGGCGCCTGAAGATGACTCCACACACGAGCCCCGCCCCGAGCCCTGCGGACGGGGCTAAACGTGCCTTGTGCCCGGAATGTAAGAGCGTCTTTAACGTCTTCACGGAGGGGCCTCGCGGGTGGAATCCTAAGCCTTACCAGGTGTGCATTGGCTGCTACAGGGCCCGCCGACCACAGAGGCGTCAACAGCCGTCATCCGACAGTCAACAGGCCGCCATGGGGTCGGAGCCGGTCTCCCAGGTCTCGTCGGTGCAAGCTGGGGCCCGCCCTGGCCGACGTCACGGGAGCCATCGCCGACGTCGCGCCCCTACGTCGCACGGCTGTGTCAACAGGCATGCACCTATCAGACTCGAGCACCACATCTTCTCCAAGGGCGAATTGAGACGAGCCAGGCTGAGAGACCACCCCCGAGCATTAATCACTATCTCGATGGACATGTCAGTCGGGCTGAGGGATGGCACCAGCAACTGGGGCTCGGCCGACGGAGCTCGGATATTCCTGGCCTGCGGTTTCTCGTGGGACGACCTGCGACCTGTCAGCCTCAGCCTGTCGGCCGCCAACCGCTCCCCTATAACCATCGAGGGAGCGTTCTTCGCTAGGCTCTCGACGACCTGCAGCGGGGGGCGTGTTACATCCTGCCGTTCCATGGTATATGTGAGCAGCTCGGTCCGGGCCATGTACCTCTCCTACGAGTCGTTGCTCAACCTCGGCCTCTTGCCCGTGAACTTCCCATCGGACGACGTTGCAGGGGGGCCCAAGGACAGGCGTAGCCCTGACACGGCTGACACACCAGACCAGCCCTTGTCCGTCAATGCGACGAGGTCAGCCAACGGCGGCTGCGTGGGGCCAGGTGACCCCCGGGACGCCCAGTGCTCATGTCCTCAGCGCACGGTCCCCCCGGCGCGCCCCGCAGCACTGCCGTTCCCTTGTACGCCAGAGGACAACAACCGGATGAAAGGTTGGCTACTCGGGAGATATGCCTCGTCGACATTCAATACTTGCCCCCATCGGGCACTACCATGCATGGAGGGGCCACCTATCGAGATGCACGTGGACCCCGCAGCTACGCCTATGGCATGTCACACCGCGGCTACAGTGCCTCTACACTGGCAGCGGAGGGTCCACGATGACCTCCTGCGGGACGAAGCCCTTGGGGTCATTGAACGCGTGCCATACGGCGAGCCAGTGGCGTGATGCCATCGTATGGTAGTCACTCGGAAGCACGACGGTTCCCCCCGCAGGACCGTGGACCTCTCCCCCCTCAATAAGTTCTGCCAACGTGAGACCTTCGCCACTGAGTCCCCGTTCCACCTTGCACGCCGCGTCCCGAAGGACACCTGGAAGACCGTCACGGACGCCTGGAACGGCTACCACAGTGTCCCCCTGCGTGAGTCGGATCGCCACCTCACTACCTTCATCACACCCTTCGGCCGTTGGCGCTACACCAGGGCACCACACCAGGGCACCACAGGGTTTCCTGTCATCAGGGGATGGCTACAACCGTCGGTTTGACGCGGTCCTCTCGGACTATGAACGCAAGGAACGTTGTGTGGATGACACCATCCACTATGACACCAACCTGGAGCAACACTGGTGGAGGACCATCGACTTCCTGACGCGTGTCGGCCGGTCGGGCATCGTGTTGAACCCGGACAAGCTTCAGTTCGCGGAGAGGTGCGTCGATTTCGCTGGCTTCAGGGTGTCGGAATCTACCATCGAACCGCTTCCGAAATACTTGGACGCCATCCGGGACTTCCCCACCCCAGGCTCCACGACGGACATCAGGAGTTGGTTCGGCCTTGTCAACCAGGTGGCTAACTACGCCCAGTTGCGTGACACGATGGCTCCATTTAAGCCGTTCCTCAGCCCACGCTGTGTGTTCCTATGTTCCTATCCTATCCGTGTTCTTGTCCTTCTGTCAGTTCCCAATGTTCTCCAATGAACAGTGGTAAAATCATGAGGTCAAATTAGTCATGTTTTGAATTTTTCATTTTCAAAACTGTTTAGGGCCAAGGACCCCCTCGTAAATAGGTTTAATGCTTACTATCATTTGTAGAATTCAAATATTTCCAATGGCATCCATCATAAGGCCTCAGCTTAATAGGTATTATCATTATTGTATCAATGCTGGTGATTTGAAGGAACAAATTAATTAAAGCTAGCTCACTGCAATGACATAGTTCTAGGGGTTCACCATGCAGGCGGTCTCAAATACATGACAAAATACGTTTGTGCTTTCAAAAACTTGACTTAAATAAATGTTTTTTATATTACGTTAGGTACCTGGATGGGTTTGAGGAAAACTTGTGTTTTGGGTTAGAAAGGTCTAAGTTGATTGTATAATTTCTACAAAGCTGTCACTTAAGCATAAACTAACGTTGTTTTTGTGCACTTACTGTAGCATTTAGGTTATTTCTACAGGTCAGAGAAACTGGGTTGTAGACTAAATGACAAGTGTACTTTAAAGTGCAACTTCTGAGGATACAGCAATGAGCTTTGACAGACACATTTTCCCCCAACCACACAGTCTCAACCCTTCAAAATATGACATGTCTAATAAACAGCTGTGCCATGCAGTGTTTATAGGCACACATCAGCAAGGGTTGGGTACTCAGAACCAGTTCTGATGTGAATTTTTGGATATTGGATAGAATAAAATGTAATCAGTGTGCAAACAAAAACAATGCAATTAATACCCTAAGATTTAGTCATTAAGCTAGTGCCGTTTACATACAAATACTGACTTTTTGTTCATCCAAACATATGATATCGACAATATTGTTGGCTGTGTCCACTTAGTGCAGGCATTATGTTGTAATTCCTATACACCAAGAAAGCATTTAATAATCAATTGACTTTCTGATAATTCATATCTATGTATGTATACACAATACAAGTGAGTCACCTGTGTATTTACCGGACGCTGCTATTACACCTCCTACAGTGGATTCAATTAGATTTAATTAGGTGTTACTGTGCTGAGCACTGAGTCACTTCTGGTGTTTTGGGTATTGTCTAATCCTTTACCTGTATTACCTCCAAAGAATGTCCTGCAAGGCATTTGATTATGATAAATATACAGGTTCTCTGTGTGAAGATATATGCTTTGTTTCACATGATGTATAGGCACAAAGGCACAATGGCTGATAACATCAGACAAGGAAGCTGAGGGAATAATTAAACCAGTTGAGCCAGTCCCTTACTATATTACAGGAAGTTATTTGTGCAGCGTGTTTCTCATCGCTCCACTTGCTGGTTGACAGTCTTCACACTCTGCAGGCTCCTGTGAACAACAGTGAGTCCAAAACATTAAAGTGGATAAACAGCAAGAAGAGAAAGAGCATGGTAAGAAGCTAACCATGACTTTGAAAAAGCATATTTGTTGGGACTTTATTGAATACGTTTTTTGTATAGGATATCATCAGTTCAGTAGCTCTTAAAATAACTCTATTATTTGTCTGTTTGCTTTTAGCAGATGTGATTGACAGTTCTGAGATGAAGAGATGATATAAGAAAGATTTCCATTGAATAATAAAGAAAGCATGAGAGGTTTACTTCAAGGGATAGGATTTTTTTGGCTGCAGTTTAATCATGTCAGGTCATGGCTGTTGGTCAAATCAGAAAGTTAATGTACTTCTCGTGTTTGCAACTGTGGGAATTGTATCGCTTTTCTACCATTAGTATATACATGACATTTAATTTAACTGACGCTTTTATCCAAAGCAACTTACAATAAGTGCAATAAACCATACAGATACAAACTCAGGACAACAATAAAAGTTGCTTCAAATAAGCCAGCCATTATAGGTGCATTAGTTTCAAATTGGCTCTTCAATTGCTTTTTTTATTATAATTTAATGGCCAAGTTACAAGCCAAACAGTATAGGTTTTTCAGTTTGTGACAGAAGATATGAAGACTTTCTGCTGTCCTGATATCAATTGGAAGTCGTTCCACTATTTTGGAGCCAGGATAGCAAACAGGCTGTTTTTGTTTAGGGGTTCCTGATTCCAACTCACATTGAAGGGACAGCAAGCCAATTGACTATATATTTATTTCCCAATTAGGGTTAGGTCCAGTTCTAGGTTATTTTCCTATTTGATTTGTAATCTGTGTGAAGATCAGTTTGGTAGGCTACTGCTTTTTGCCTTAAGAGTAGGGATGGGTATCGAGAACCGGTACTAAGTCAATACCGGTACCTGATTGGACGGTATCGGTATACCGTTAAGCCGCTGGACAAACGGTGCTGCTATCAGTATATGTGTTACGTCTACTTCCTTAGTTTAACTTTAAACCATTCTGGTTGGTTGGGAACCCTCATCCCGTGTGATGTATCCGGTTTGAGACCCCTCTGATTGGCCACTGTAAATGCCACTCGTCATCTCTCTCAACAGCGCTCTTATTATTGTTGTGAGACTCCCGCAGGCATGGCGGACAGAGCGAGGCGATCGAAGGTCTGGGTGCACTTTAAAAAATGTAGTGGCGATAGTGCAAGGTGCAATCTATGTACCCAATTAGTTGCTTGTAAAGGGGGTAACACAAGCAACTTAATGAAGTTTACTAGGAATTGACATATTTTAAGCTCAAATACTTTGTTCTATGTTTAAACCTTCAGACACATTTTGACGTGTTTCAGTTCAGCACATCATTTATTTTGTGATGATTTAAAAGTACAATCCAGAATAATATACATACTCACCTTTATCTTTTTGCCATCTTAGCCTTTTTACCAATTTCTTCATATCACAGTTTTGCATGATGTCACTGTAGGACAATGTTTGAAGGATCTCTTGTTGAGCTAGGTTGTCAGTTTGAAATGTCTGGATGAAGATGTAACTGATTTACAAATGTTTAAAAAAATGCCTCTTTTCATCCTCTGTCTGAGGGAAACCCCCAAAAAGCATGATAGGGCGAGCCAGGCCCCTTTAATTTATTTAATTTATTTTGTCTGCTTCTGAGAAGCTAATGTATAAGTTATACAGTTATTTCTGCAAGAAAATTACAATAAAATGACTGTTTAATCTTCACATCTTGTATTCATGTCTATAATTTTGAGCACCAAATTATTGAAAAGTATCGATAAAAGTATCGAAAAATACCGATACCGATAAGCAGTACCGGTATCGGTATCGATAAAATCCTAACGATACCCATCCCTACTAACGAGTAATCCTTTTTTCCTTCCATCCTTGTCAGTAGTTCAGGAACCATTGTGAGAAGTCTTGCTCCCGCAGTTTTAAAAAAAGTTCAACGAAAAAGAAGAGGATTTGTTGAAATAAAAAGTTTAATTAACTTTTGGAAACAACATAAGCAATCCAGCAAAAACAAATGCTCCAGAAAATACTGCTCTATGATCTGAGGCTGCTGCGTGGCTTCTAGGAACCAGAAAACTGCAAGAGACCAGAACCAGGTAAACAGGCTTTATTATCTAACTCAGTGGTTCCCAAACTTTTTGTGCCCAAGGCACACCAAAGGACAAGTACAAATCTCAAGGCACACCTATTGTGCAAAATAGCCCTTATAACACGTGTTATCACTCATATCATGTAAAATATCTGTAAATGTGCATAATTATTTACTAATGCCAAATAAAATGTGACAAAGACAACTATATTACTCCTGAAATATTTATTAATGAAATATTTCAAAAATTAATTTGAAACTTTATCAAATTAGGCTTCATCAAAGCAGCAACACATTCATTTAAACCAGACAGGTCACACAATTAAAAATGAGGCAAAGGACACTCAGCAGAAATTCAGCACAGAGAACTGTCAATGCAAGGAAGCTGCATTGTCCATGGTCCTGAACTACAGATTATAAATGTAACATTTCAGCAATCAGCATTGAAACATGTGCTATTGTAAATATTTTTGCCGACTTACAAATTAGTGAGATACATGTGCCTGCCTGTCGGGGCGCGCAGAATTTTTTTAACCTTGGTGGCACTGAGGAGAGGGCCACTCGCAAGTCCTGTTCAACAGAGAGCCGTGACCTCCTGTTGTTCTTCATGTAAATCAGAGTAGAGAACGCCAACTCCAGAGATGGGGTCGTTACTAAAAAAATGTAATATATTACATATTACTTTTTTAAAAAAAAGTAATATATTACACTACTTCGTTACTATCTACATAAAGTAACTCGTTACTCATATCGCCGAGCACGTACGAACTGCGCATGCGTGAGTGGCAATAACTTTCCTTACCAGCAGGCGGCGGTAGTGTGTATTTGTCATTCAAAACAGGCAACAACCGGAAGACAGAGAAGAAGAACAGACTACGTGATATAAACAAAAAAATATGTGTTCTTTGCAGGTGTGTGTTGAGGTTTGACGTGGTGTTTACAGCAGTGGATAACAGCTTCTGGCCTGGACACAGTTTGCACCTCACCGTCACATTCCTGTCTATTCTTCGGACGAACTCAAAATAATGGGCATACCACCACCCCTGGAAAGTTATCGCGGACTCAGCCATGTTTATGCAGCACTGCACGTGGAGATGTGGACGCGCAAGTCGCGCAGATTACGTACATATAAACCTACAAAGTACTGATATAGTAAATTAAAAAATAATTATTTTTGTGTAGTTGTATATTGCAATAATAAGGTATGGTTGTCACAAAATCCCACGGCACACCCTTTGGCAACCACTGATCTAACTAATAACCTGACCCTGATCAGCTGTCCAGTGTCAAGGCCGCCGTAGCCACCCCCTACTGCCAAACTGACATGTCAAATACATTCCAGTGCCTTCAATATGTTTAACACTCTTCAAATTCTGAACTAGTCTCTTACTGCTCCTAGTACTTGACTCCTGGTAATAGGATGGGTTAAATGCAGATGCCACATTTCATTGTGTGTGCTGTGTGCTTTGCATTTGTGACCATTAAAGAGGGGTTTAATCCCTCCGATTCTATTCTATTAACAGAACTGCCAACGGGTACATTTTACACGCAACTGTTTCTTGATTGTATGTAACCTTTTTTCAATAAAATATTCAAGTCTCCCAGTCCGTGACTTTTCCTGAAAGTGTGTTATGTAGCATCCTCTGTTGTTAAAAATTGTCAATATGAAGTCAGATTGAAAAAATTGCCCAAGAAATTGCCATGTATACCTATCAGCGCCAGCGGGTAATATTTATCTTATAGAAAATGCAGTGATTTTCGCGTTATTGATCTTGCGCGAAAACATAAACATGACGTGTTGCTAAAGCTACGCCTGTTGTTTACTGCGGTTCCTTATAGATAGATATAGAGAGATAGATAGTTATAGATCGATCGATAGACCGTTCAACACAGTCTCACGGCATTTCGTGTTATAGTCACACATTTTTTTAATACAGATTTCAGTATTCTGACAGAACGATTTTAATAGTAATGTATTTCTATTGGTAGTATGTTTCGTGCCTGCACCAAATAATAACAAATTAGCAGGAAAAAAAGATTTAACAAATACAGATGTCAGTATTCTGAGGCTCTGAGCCCCATTTATTTTCCTCGCGGACGGCAAAAAAAGTCTGACATTATACAATTTAAAATAAAAACAATAATCGTGGCTTGATATTGAGTACGAAAATGTTTTTATGAACCACACAGCTTCCGGTCTTCCAAGACCCGACCGGAGAAAAATACGTGGTGCAGGCACGAAACATACTACCAATAGAAACACATTGCTTTTAAAATCATTCTGTGTGACACGAGAAAAAGGGGAAAATTGTGTTGGTGAACACGAATCAATAGATTCAATTTATTTTGTGACTACGAAATGCCGTGAGACTGGGTTGGATAGCTATAGATAGAGAGAGAAATGGAGAGACACTTTGCACATAACTCATGGTAGCGATCTTTTATACTTCATGCAATGCACAAACTATATCATATGAAAGCTGAGAGTCCACAGATTATATTGGTATACGTTTCATCACTGTGCGATCAAAACTCACTCTTAACCCTGTGTTCTAGTATGATAAATAAAAGAACATTGTACCTTGAAAATCAATGCATTCTAATAGCGGGTACATTTGACCCGTTGGCGGTTTTAGGTATACAGCGACCCCTGACGGTTCTAGTGTTAATCTTCTTAAAATTGATAAATCTTCTGTTGTTGTGCCATCCAGCAACACTGGATCTTGTTGACTCACAGCCAACACTATGTGGAAGCATCTCTGTCCAATGCAGTTAACTTGAAGAGGATGAGTAATTAAAGGTATGTTTACTTGAAAACAACGTGAGGTTGTGTCAAATTGTCTGTTAATAAAAACGAACTATCTATTTCACTTTGACATGACATAGTGCAGCAGGTAGATAACATGTCACCTCACTGTTAACATTTTCCATTAGTTGTTCTAGAAAAAGAGTTGTGGTATGTGAGTAATGCAAGCTAACTGGAACAATGACTTTGGAAATACATATTGCTGTGGAAGTGACACAAGCCAAACTCTGTATGGCTTCACCAGCATGCTTGTAACCCTAAAAAAGCCTCTTTTTTTTTACCAGATTTAGATTTTCCTCAAAAAATTTAAGCTGTAATGCTTAAATAGTGCCTGTGTCGATTGGAAATAAGAAAAGCAGAAAGAAAGAAGAACATCCTTGTTTTGGAAAAAACAAACACAACCTTTCTCTAATTATTTAGTGGATAGCAGCCTAGCTAATGTGAGCTGGCTTTCATTAGTCTATTTGGAGGAATGGCAAATAACCAGACGGTCAGTAGTGCTCTAACTTCAGCTATAAAGCAACCTGTGATTTGAATCATGAGTAACTAATGTCATTTAATTACACATGCAACAGAGCAACAACAGCCATCATGAAACTTGTTAATAGCTGGGCAAAGTATTTTAACTTATAACACCAACAATAACCTGTCTGCACAGATGTTGCATTCATCAAATTACAGTACACATTTTTCCAATAACCAGAAATTCACTCCCTCAGACAAATACATTTTGGAAATTCATTACATAGAAATTCATCAAATATAAGTTATATAATTGATCAAAAGAAATGTCAAACAAACACCCATATATTGTACAGGTGTTGGTTTCCCAGCTATATATAATATAGCAAATATAGTTCTTAAATATACCTTGTACACATTACTTAAAATGGTGGCCAAACCCAGATTGGAATGGCATCTTTAAAGGCCTATAAAGATGAATCTAATGATGTAATAAGATAAATGTTAAGAAACCCTCAACAATGTGCTTGACCTTTATTTGTTCTGTGGTATAAGAACAAGGTATAATTATGACAGTGTTCAATATCTATGTAATTATCTAACAATACAAACAATGTAAAGCTGGGTGGTATGATTATATAATGTTTTTTTTCTTGTCTGTCCCACTTTCTTAAAAGGAATGGCAATATTTAAGACATGCTTGTCCATCTTTGCCCTTCTCCTGACACTAACTATTTTGGAAACAGGGAGCTTCATTGAATCTCCAAGTCAGGTTTTACCGGTAGGTCAACGGTGTTTACAATACTGTACGGAAAATGTGGGATCACAGCCTTCAATGCACAAAGCAATTATTTGAACCTGAACCCTATCTGTTGTCTTAGGAACACAATGAAGAAGAATCATTTCTGCCTCACATCAGGGGAAAAAGGAGTGGTAAGTCTCATTATTAAATATGAAAGAATATTGGAATAATAACACTTTATAACTGATAGTTATTTTAAAAGATTTAAAACATGAGAGGTGTGACTCATCTCATCAAACTCAAAAAAGTAGTCCCCAAGTACCAACTATTAAGAACTTGTATTGTGTGTGGATGATTTAAAACAACATTTATATTTTGTTTGTATTTATTTCAATCTCTCTAGTGGCTACAAACCAATGGAATTACACGCTTGATATTGTATTGAATGCCTCTGATGTGGCAATAATTCAGCAGTTTCAGTCCTCTTTGAACAGTTTTCCCATACAACTTGGTAACAACACAGAGATCTCGGAAATTACCTTTACAAGAGGTGAGTAATTTGAGTAGCTATGTTGACCTTCTTACCAACATATAAACACCTGTTATGCTATACTGATATCACTTTTCATTCATCAGTGTGTTCCTCGACTGCCACTGGCTTCCAGTGTAGATGTGAGGACAATTTTGCTTGGCCATACAGCACATGTGTCACATATGGAGCCTGTGATTCCATTGTTAGTGGCATCTGTACATGCATTGATGCTATTCCAGCTGATGGACAGTCCTGCCAGGCAATATCAGGTGAACAAGTCATTACTTATTGATTTCCTTTCATTGCTAATTGCAAGCAGCAGCCTGGTGAAAGAAGAGTTATAGTTAGGGTCAATTCAATTCAGTGAAATTCAATGAATGTTACTTACATTTAACACTGATTTAAAGGGGCCATGAGCTGACATCTTTTTGAACGTTGACTTAAATGTATTTTGTAAACAAATTACATATCATTTATTTGGTTTGTTGAAAGCAATAATATTACATTTCAATTAAAAATAATAGGTTCAACTTAATACCGTTACATTCAACTAACCTAATACAATTACAGTATGTGGAACCTGTTCACATAATATTTTTAATTAAAGTCAATGTTTCATTTTTTCAGTGTGTTATACTCATTTTCAGCTTCATATTATTATTTAGTGTCTCTACTGTGACATGTCTCCATGCTTTAATGTTCAAAAAGCTCTTTATTTTTCTGCAGCACCTCTTTTCACCCTCTGTCTGAAACCAGAGCCCAGTCTGCTCTGATTGGTTAGCTGGCTGGCTCTGTTGTGATTGGTTAACTGCTCAGTAAAGTTCAGGCCCTTAGCCTATCACGTACAATGTGTTGGAGCGCTAGCCAATAGATGTCATCATGTCACTATGTTACAGAAGTAAACAGAGGTGCAATGGAGGTGTTTCAGGAAGGGTAGGGTGGGGGGAACACAGGGATTTTAGCCTTTGCAGACTATTTACATACACAAAAACCTTTTTAACCCAAAAAAGCATACATTTTCTTTTTGAAGGCTACAACTTTTAAATAAAAGGCATTCAATATTTTATATTTAGAGAGTGATCATTAATAGAGCTCTAAGATAAAACACTTAAGTATTACTTTAAATTACTACAGCTTAATTTGAATGATTTCTCTACATTGATATGTCCTTTAACCAAAAGAGACCCTAAATCATGTTGTTTTTCGGTAACACTTTATATTAAGGTACACAAATTAACCATCAACTAGTTGTTAATTAGCATGCATATTAGCAGTATAATGACTCTCTATTAGTCATTATACAACACTTATTAATGCCGTATTCTACATGACCATATTCTACAAGTAATAAGCCATTAGTTGAGAGTTTTTCCTCAATAACACTCTAATTAGTGCTTATTTATTGCAAGTAAGGAAGTTGTTGTACATGAGTTTTGGTCTTAATATGCGCTGCTTAATATGGGCGTAATAAGGCAGTAGTAGCACAAGAATAGTAATTCTCCCATAATAACACTTAACAAATATATCTATCCTTATGGAACAATTATGAAACTATAAGTGTTAATTGTGTCTAAATAACTCAAAATTAGGTATTTATATCTTATAATATGTTTTGGGGTATTGACAGTTCAGCTACCAATAGCAAGGTGATATTGACCTGTATGTTTCATATTTGCACATTTATATTTTTGTAAAATGTGTAGCCTACTGAAGGTTAGACCCGGGTACAGGAAGTAGGAGAACGTGAACGGAATATAATGGCAGTAGACATCCATGAGTACACTGCCACTAATTTTCCCTATGCAACCTGAAGAGTAAAAGGGTCAAGTCCGTCAGAAAGCAATGACTGTAAGTGTAAGTGTGAGCCTTACACTTACACTGTAAGGATTAGTAACATGTATTGTGTTTATGTGATGACATGTGGAGATGTTTAAACTCAATGAGAAAATGCGTTAGCATTCGCGCTAGCGTTAGCATACATGCTAGCGTTAGCCATACTAGCCTGTATACATGCTTATTGTACAGCTAGCATTAGCTATGTTTACCTTGTTTACACTAAGCGGTCCTAATGTGTTCTTCTGTGTATGTTACACTTGCATGTATGAGATCATTAAGTGCCTTGTAACTTCTTTTTTTATAGTTTCACTCCGTTTGAATGTCACTGGACTGCAAATAAGTCAATAAAGGAGCATGGCTGCTCATTCCCTGGCTCTCAAAAGAGTTTGGCTGGCTGTTTAATCTATGTTCACACTGAGACAACACAGAGAGAACAGTACACCTATTGTGTAAGAACATACAAGCAGGTCACACAGTATGATCACAAATACATAAACTCTGTTAAAAATCAGTTTTTATTAAAAAGTACAGGCTGCATATATGTTCTCAGCCTTGGAGAAACTTGACATGTTTTGGTACATGTATGTGTCTGAACCTCTCTTTAGTGGTTCATTAATAAAACAGATATTTCAACGTGTGCCTACTTTGTTCATGTACTGTTGAGGATAATTTCAGTAGTTGTGTGCTATAATGTATTTACAAAGTGTGAAGAGGAGGCAACTTTAGAATAGGGAACCTGTTCTGGTCAATTAGAGTCAAACTAATAGCTTATTGGTTATGAACAAGACTTCACTTTAAAATAGGGAACGTGTTCTTAGATATAAATAGCTAATTTTGAGTTGTTTAGACACAATTAACACTAGTTTCATGTCTTGTTCCATAAGAATAGATCATATTTGTTAAGTGTTATTATGGGAGAATTACTATTCTTGTGGTAGTACTGCCTTATTAGGCCCATATTGGGCAGCGCATATTAAGACCAAAACTCATATACAATAAGTTCCTTACTTGCAACAAATAAGCACTAATTAGAGGGTTATTGAGGAAAAACTCTCAACTAATGGCTTATTACTTGTAGAATATGGTCATGTAGAATAAGGCATTAATAAGTGTTTTATAATGACTAATAAAGAGCCAATATACTGCTAATATGCATGTTAATTAACAACTAGTTGATGGTTAATTTGTGTACCTTAATATAAAGCGTTACCTGTTTTTCTACTACAGGGCTTCTGGCTCAGGTTGAGTACGATGTGGATGTTGAGCTGAATTTTACTGATATTGGGACCGTGGACGTCCTTAGAAGCATCCTGGATGCCGGGGGCTTTTCCCTAGCCTTGGGTCCAACTGTGAACGTCACACACATTACCATCACCACAGGTAAGCATGGTGGTAAAAAAAAAGCATGGGGGGAAAATGTTGTTAGACAAGACAGAGGGCGCCTGGGTATTAAAGTGAACTGTAATTTTTCCCACATTTGACCATGTGATACATTCAATTCAATCAATTATATTTTCTTTCAAGTGTTTACGGAGTAATGGCTCACTTATTAACTGTGGACAAAGTGCAATGCGAGAATATGCTCTCTTGACCTTCATATCACTAAACTATTTTATATTATACATTCCCCCTCTAAAATTGGGACTTTCCCTTCTCATTGAGGTGAAGCAAGTTTGGAAAGTTCAAGAATGTCCACATACTTTTGAGTGTCAACAAAAATAATCCTCCAGGGCTTCTCAGACAGGGCACTAGCAAGGCATCTGCACAAGTTAAACAATAATGTTCTTTCCAATTATTGATCTTATACATGTTTCATTTTTTAGACTTCCAAGTCTGAAATACATACTGTTTATATACAGTATGTCCAGAGCAGAGGTTGCGTTAACCGAATATATTCCGTATATGACGGAATTTTTAACAATGACGGAAAAATCTGAAAGCAGTCCGTCATTTTGACAGATTAGAACAAACTCAGAACAGCGCCAAAGTTTCCCCGCAGTAGGGCTCCGGTGTTATGCCGTGTTATGGATGCCCTCCAAAAAGGAAATTATATCGTTTCCAGACCTAACTTTGCCGTACAAATCAATGAAATGCCTGGGAGTTTATGCTTTATGCTGTGGCGCGCTCCCGCGAGGTGTACAGACCGACGGGTAATCATGGATTTTGACGGAAATTGTACGATCCTGTCCGTCAAAATGACGGGTAGCAAAAAGGTCTAGCGCAACCTCTGGTCCAGAGTAATGCATGTTTGAACAGACCATTACTCCTCAACACAATACAACCTAAAATATGTCCCATTGGACCTAAAGCCTATTCATCCAGCACCTAGAAACCAAACACCTAGTCTCTAAATATTAGGCAGAATGGTGTAATCAGGTTGTGCCTGCCAAAAGTTTTTTTATGTTGGCAAGTTTACTATGGCAAAGGTTAGAGTACAGCAGGTCATGCCTTTCCCAACAGGAAAAATATCATGAAGGTCCATCAGTCTGCACAACAATAATCTATTTGCTTCTGTTGGTTGCGCAGGGAGTGTTTATCTTTGGAGCGAAGTGGCCTTCAAACAATAGGTGGTGGTTTTTTGGGGGTAATGTGCTGTTGGACATATTGGTCCAATGGGACATCTTTCTGACCATTAAGCTGCATTCAGATGATACACGTCAAAACGGCTCTGCGCTCACGTTGCAGTTGTGTATTTTTTGGAGAGAGCAGTGCTGCCCGACTAGGCGGAAGCGCTTCTCTCGGCGTCGCACAAGCACGGCGTTCAAAGGTCAAATCATTTCAACTTCGACCTTGTTTAACGCTGACCTTCACAACCAATCAGATGCCAGCTGTACTAGGCTAGCAGGGGAAGTAAATCTGCTCTTTTCTCACCACGTGGTGAGCTGGGCGCAAAGCCTTGCAGTGAACACAGCCAGTATGGTTACCTCCTGTGCTGGCTTGTGCCGCTACATACAGCTGTCATCTGATATAATAATTTCAACTTGGAATGCATTGCTTGGCAATAATTTGGAGCCATGCACAACACAGAAGGCAGTTCTTCCGCCTATTCAGGTAGCATCGCTCTCCCCATAGAAACACAATGTCAGCGCTGAGTCGTTTTACCGTGTATCATGAGAATGCAGCGTTCTGGAATTACTGGCCTTCAATACAATAAGCACTACGCCATAAATCAAGTAGGCTATGGATGTAAGAAAATGCTGCATATCATTTAAGTGATTGACTGTGGCTCAGGATGTAAAGTTGGTCGTCAACTAATCCGAAGATCAATGGTCCTGCTCCTTCAGTCTGCGTTGGAGTGTCATTGGGCAACGATACCATAGCAAAGTATCTCCCAAGGCACAGCGGAAAATGTGGAAATAAGCATTAGATAGATCCTCATGAGTCCAGTTTGTCAACTTGTTAACCCTGCTATCAGTTTATAGATGTGTGTGAATGGATACATCTTGACATGTAACGGTACGTCCACACAGCAGATTTTCAAAAATCTTGAAGATCTTGGAGCTGGGCGTGTCTGAAGGCTTGGGGATTTTTTGCGAGCAACACGACCAACAACCAATCACATTAATCTCCCGCCCCCGACATACAAAGCAAAAAAACCCGGGGATTTTATGCGAGCAATATATATATATATAAACTCCCCAAACAGGCGAAAACCTACCAGTTTCACCCACTGTCTCTGCCACCTCCCTCCATGCCTGGTTCCTCCGGTTTGTATCCCGTTAATAGTTCTGGTCGTAAAGAACCGGGTGATTTGCTACCGTAATTTCTCGTTTGGAATATGAGGAAATGAACTGCGGTCTGGTTCTCCCTGCATACACGTGGTTTGATTGGCTAGCGCTTCTACTGTCAGATTTGCATAAACAGGATTTGATTGGCTGACGCTTCCAGCTCAGCTTCAAAAGTAGAACATTGCTCAACTTTTGAATCCTGAAAATCCTGGAAATCCTGGAAATCTTCGCTTCGCTCCCCCACAATGCAGTTCGGCGAAAAGCGAAGCAAACTCACGTCATCCACATTCAAAGTCAATGGGCAGAGAAGCGTTGGAAGCGTTGGAAGATTTGTTTAAAGCTGCTGTGTGGACGTACCGTAAGGCAGAGGAACTTTGAGTTGTGATAAGCTACAAAGCATTATAACTGATTATAATGTCTGTTTAATTGTTTGTTTTCATGTAGTTTGTTACCCAAATGGTACAAACTTCCAGTGCAGATGTGAGGAACAATATGTGTGGTCATTAAGCAACTGTAATACATATGGAGCCTGTGATGACATCATTGACAACACGTGTGGGTGTATCAACAGTATTCCTACCAATGGACAATACTGCGTGCCACAGTCAGGTGATACACTTTTACATTTAAAGTAACATCACACATATGGATATAATATTTACTTAGTTATTTTTCTCGGCACTGTAATCTGTATTTGGTTATTTAAAAAAAGTATTTGTGTCCTTTCAATTCTCTCTCACTCAAGGTGACCTCGTATTACATTTACATGAGCAAATCTAAATGAGCAAACAATATGACAAGATGAAAAGAATGAGGATGAGAGAAATATGAATACCTATTCTTTACTATAATTGAATTTCATTATCTTCACTCAGTAATTTTGCCTGAGTCATGTCATGACCTAGATTTGGAACAAATTACTTGCAAATAATTGTCTCTAATTCGACTCTCTTTTTCTACAGTGCCTTTAGTATTTTATGAATACCAGATTATTATCGAGGTGAATACCAGCGATGCGGATCAGTTGAGAAACGTCCTGAACAGTCTTCCTTTTCCTATCCAGATCAGCTCCTCAGTTAACATATTAGATGCCAATATCACCACAGGTAAGAACAAATGCATTATATCCTTTTTTAATATCTATTTCAAACTTCTGCCTTTTTCACAAGAGAAAATATGTTATTCTCTTTAAAGTTTGCAGCCAAGATAACACTGGGTTTCAGTGCCACTGTGAAAATGACTATCTTTGGCCGTGTGATAAGTGTGACACCTATGGGAAATGTGATGGTAATACAAGCAACACATGTGGATGCATCAATGCCATTCCTCCTGATGGACAATACTGCCAGCCTGCTGATCAATACAGTAAGTTGGTTTTCAGGTTTGTTTACTTTTAGGATCATATTTCTATTTTCTGCCTCTACTGGGACATGTCTCCATGCTTTAATGTTCAAAAAGCTCTTTATTTTTCTCATACTGCCTGTGCTGCAGCACCTCTTTTCACCCTCTGTCTGAAACCAGAGCCCAGTCTGCTCTGATTCTTAGCTGGTCGTCTTTGCGATTGGTCAGGCGCTTAGAGATGTCCCGCCCCTTAACCTTTTACGGACAATGTATAAGAGCGCTAGCCTATAGAAGCACAAGTGTTACATAGTGATGTTACTATGTTACTGAAGCAAACAAAGGAGTCCAATGGAGGCGTTTCAGGTAGGGAGGGAGTGTGTGGGAAGAGACTCCCTCTGGAGGGAACACAGGGATTGTAGCCTTTGCAGACCATTTACATGCACACAAACCTATAGAACACACTACAGGAAAGGGAAAACACCAAACCACAATAGTAAGATGTCAAAATGTAAGATGACTCTTTTAAATGTAATATTCAGAAATATATAGTAAGTTTTGTTCAAACTAGCGATGTCACGACATATAAGTAAGTATGTAGTATATCATGTTAATAAACCACATTATAATATGATGTAAATAATTCAGCGTTATTTTTCTTTTTTTTTATTGCGAAAGTTGTGAAAGTTGTGACAGCCCTAATTCAAGCTTTTAAAATGTGCGTGTGACGATATACAGTAGTAACTATCTTATTAGTCTCACCCTTTATAGTTGTTTCTACTCAGCAGCAACTCCACTTTCTCTCCCATGTGATAGATTTAACAGCTTGTCCTCAGTGCAGATGTGAGGAGCAGTATCGTTGGTCATGTGACCAGTGTTTAAAGTATACATCCTGTGACAACATCACTGCGATTAAAATCACTATTCTTATATTACTGTTTTTTCTCAGAAAAGAAAATGCAGTTTTGGTCAGATCTAAAAAAATGTAATTCATATGAGGCCCTAGTCCTGTTCCATATGAATGTAAGATGACTCAATTATTTTAAATTGTTATATCCAGAAAATGAAGTGAGTGATATACAAATGTACTGGTTATAGAATAAATACAAATGATAATGTCATGTAAATACGGAGCCCTGGAGGGTTCATTGTAGGAAAAATAAATAAAACGTGGCCACGTTTTACTTTCTCGTTCGCACAAGTTAATAAAGCGTGCGCACGAGTTAATAAAGCGTGGCCTCGTTTTATTTAAATTGAGGGATTCCTGTCCGTGACTCACAGTATCTGCTGCCCACAGCTGTTTTATAGAAAGAAAATCTCCTTCACTTTATGAAATCTCTGCGGCACCAGTGGCCTGTACTACGAAGCAGGATTTGCTATTTACACTATTCATTCATGAAGTATGACGCTGCGCTGTCAGCACGCGTCTCCATGTTTGTGATTGGTCAAATGTTGCTAACCACGTCCCTTTCACGTGAACGCGCTCTCAGCCGGACAGAGAAACCCTGGTAGATTTACTGAGTTAATAACCAGCTTCGTAGGACCGTTTAGCGAGATCGCGTTTGTTAGGGTTAGTTAAGCCGGGTAAATGGAACATATCCAGGTCCAGGGTCTGTTGAACTGGCTTCGTCGTACAGGGCACTGGAGGCAGTAATGTGTAACTCAGCAGAATCTGAGAAGAGCAGCACCAGCTGCAAAGAGCTGTGCCTTTTACTGTTCATTTCACTGCGTTTCCCTTCATTAGAACCGCTGAATAGAGATCGAGGCTGCTACGTTTAACCACACACACCTATACACACATCGAACTACCAGAGTATTCCCCCTCGCTTTATGAAGGAGATGTCCTGTTACCGGGGCGCATGGTGTGTGTGTGTGTGTGTGTGTGTGTGCTCAGCTCCGCTCTGTGCGTGTGTCCGACACCACCGGCATTTGTTTTGAAATTACCACGAACAGTACTTTACACAAATCTGGTTCTCCATAGTTAAGTGTATTCCCAAGTGAAAGAAATGTGTTTAATCTTAATCTCGATGTGCTATAGTCCTGCCGGAGTGCACCGGAACGAACGATACTATCATAAACAAATCACACACACACACACACACACACACACACACACACACACACACACACACACACACACACACACACACACACACACACACACACACACACACACACACACACACACACACACACACACACACACACACACACACACCACACACACACACACACACACACACACACACACACACACACACACACACACACACACACACACACACACACACACACACACACACACGAGAAGGTATCTCGTGCGAACGAGAAAGTAAAACGTGGCCACGTTTTATTTATTTTTCTCTCATATGAACCCTCCAGGGCTCCGTATGTAAACAATCCATCATTTTTCTTTTTCACTTTGGTTATGGGAACATACTTTTCTTTATCTTTCTAGTATATCTATTTTTATTAGCAGTAAAACAGATAAAACGCACAATAATCAAATGTAAAAATGTATTCCACTAAAGCTTAATATTGTTATATTTATTTTTTTAAATGTCTATTGGTATCATGATATCATTATCACGAATTCCTTTGGTCACATTCATTGTACAGTATAGCATCTTCTTATATTCTGATAGCTCTTTTTCAAGCTCTTAAAATATGCATCATAACAAAGAGAAGCAATTATCTAAGAACTCCTCTCTTTACTTCTTACATATTTTACAGCTTGTCCTCTTATAACAACTCCATCACCAACAACTCGTCCTACAACAACGCCAACACCAACAACGCCCGACAAACTCCATCACACCAACAACTTCCTACAAAACTCCATCACCAACAACTCTTCCTACAACAACTCCAACAACGGCCGAACAACAACAACAACTCCTACACAACACCCCACCAACAACGGCCGCACAACAACCCAACACCAACAACTTCCGACAACAACACCAACAGCGCGGCGACAACAACGCCAGACACCAACAACCGGCCTGACAACAACCCCAGCACCAACAACGCGACGACAACAACGCCAGCACCAACAACGCTACAACAACACCAACAACGCGGCCGACAAACAACACCAACAAACGCGGCAGACAACAACGCCAGCACCAACAACGCGGCCGACAACAAGACAGCACCAACAACGCGGCCGACAACAACGCCAACACCAACAACGCGGCCGACAACAACGCCAGCACCAACAACGCGGCCGACAACAAGGGCAACACCAACAACCCGGCCACAACAACGCCAACACCAACAACGCGGCCGACAACAACACCAACAGCGCGGCCTGACAACAACGCCAACACCAACAACGCGGCCGACAACAACGCCAACAACGCGGCCGACAACAACCAACAACGCGGCCGGACAACAACGCCAGCACCAACAACGCGGCCGACAACAACGCCAACAACGCGCCGACAACAACGCCAACAACGCGGCCGACAACAACGCCAACACCAACAACGCGGCCGACAACAACGCCAACACCAACAACGCGGCCGACAACAAACACCAAAGCGCGGCCGACAACAACGCCAGCACCAACAACGCGGCCGACTAAACAACCCCAGCACCCAACAACGCGGCCGACAACAACGCCAGCACCAAACAACGCGGCCGACAACAACACACCAACAACGCGGCCGACATCCAACACCAACAACGCGGCAGACAACAACGCCAGCACAACAACGCGGCCGACAACAAACGACAGCACCCAACAACGCGGCCGACAACAACGCCAATACACCAACAACGCGGCCGACAACAACGCCAGCACCAACAACGCGGCCGACATACAAGGGGCAACAGCCAACCAACCCGGCCACAACAACGCCAACTACCAACAAACGCGGCCGACAACAACGCGCAACACCAACAAGGCGGCAGACCAAAAACGCCAGCGCCAACAAACGCGGCCGACAACAACACCAACCAGCGCGGCCGACAACAAACGCCAGCACCAAACAACGCGGCCGACAAAAACGTCCAGTCGCCAACAACGCGGGCATGACAACAACCCCAGCACCAACAACTCGTCCGACAACAACGCCAGCACCAACAACTCGGCCTACAACACCTCCATCACCAACAACTCGTCCTACAACAACCCCATCTCCAACAACTCGTCCTACAACAACTCCAACACCAACAACTCTTCCTACAACAACTCCATCACCAACAACTCTTCCTACAACAACTCCAACACCAACAACCCCATCACCAACAACTGTTCCTTCAACAACCCCATCACCAACAACTCTTCTTACAACAACCCCATCACCAACAACCCTATCACCAACAAGTCTTCTTACAACAACTCCATCACCAACAAGTAAGACATAAGACTTAAAGGACAGTATTTTTTAAAACAAAAACCAAATGATAATATTATTTACAAGTGAGACATCAACTGTATTTGTTTTTCTTTAAAATGCTCTCCCTGCAGCTCCTCCTATTCTCTTTGAATACATCATTGTGGTTGAGTTGAACACCACAGATGTCACTCTAATAAATCAACTGAGTACCATTCTGAGAAGCATCCGTTACCCCTTTATCATCAACAACACACAAATCCTTGATGTAAACATTTCTACAGGTACAGATAAAAGCTTATTTTACATTGGTTTACATGATGTAAATATGTTTAATATTTGTTGGTGTTGTCAATCCAAAGTTTGAATCTAAAAGTTGTAAAACACACTTTATGAATATGACAGTTGGAAAAACTCATTACATGTTTAAAATTAATTGTGTTTTTGTTTGGTCACAAGTTTGCTCTCCGAGCAGTACTGGTTACCAGTGCAGATGTGAGGATCAGTATCGTTGGTCATGTGACCAGTGTTTACAGTATACATCCTGTGACAACATCACTGGGGACACATGTGGATGCATCAATGCCATTCCTCCTGATGGACAATACTGCCAGCCTTCTGGTCAAAACAGTAAGTTGGTCTGCAGTAATCACTGCATTCTGGCCTGCATTTTCTATTTTACTCAAATGTAATATAACAAAGTCAAACTAGCAATGTCATGATATACAAGTAAGTATGGATATCTTGTTAATAAAACACATATGAACATATTATGTAAATGACCCAACTCTCTTGTAAACTTTTGTTCATTTATGGCATGGGTCGGCAACAGGCGGCCCGCGGGCCATTGTTGGCCCGCCAGCAATAATATTTGGCCCGTAATTTTGAGAATCAAAAATAAAATCTTATTTTGATTTTTTTTTTTTTTTTTTTTACAACATAGGACCGACAGTCGCACATCAGGGTTTCCGTTAGCCTCCGATCGATCGGCCGCCGGTCATTATCGGCCGCCGGTCATTATCGGCCGATATTCACTCTTAATAGTTTGATCTGTGCTCTCTATAAAGGCCGATCAGGAGAGCTGGATCTGATCGATATGGACATAAATGCGAGTGAAGTGTAACCGGACCCGAGAGAGAGATCAGATCAGCTGCTGAGTCTGATGGAGACACACAGCTCTGCATGATCACCTGAAGCCCCGCCCACTGTTTAGCGAGCTGCATGAGAAACTGACGGGCTGTCAGGAGAGAGAGGGAGGGAGAGAGGAAAAGAGAGCATCCGTTTCTCCCGTGTTATTATTCAAAGTTAATGTAAACTTTTGAATAATGTACTTCATCTACTACAAGTAGTTTGTTTGAATGTAATAATTATGTTGTTTGTTGAATCATTTATTGAAAAATGAATCTGAATTTTTTGATCTGTAACGATTATAAACTGAAGCAATATAAAAATGAGCCCCATTAACTGAGTTTTAAACATCAGCATATCCGGTCCTAGTCCGGTGATTACCTGCTAACGGAAACTCTGCTACACAATTCTTATTATTATTATTGTAACATGACCGGTAAGTTTCAATTTTGTCCGGTAAATCTGTCCCGACATATCCGCTTACATTCATAATGTCAGCGGAGGGAGGGGAGGCGGCGCTGTGGAAGAGCAGAGTGGAGGGAGAGCTGTCATCTTCCCTTTACAAGCTTCAAACATGTATTTATCGTGTGATTTTGGAAATAAAAATGTCATATTCCGAAAACCAAGACTTTGTTTATTTAAAATCAAACAAAACACCCGATCCCCGAAAAACTATTTTTTTACGCAAATCCACGTTTATTTTGAAATGAGCCGTTGCGACTTTCGACTGATTTCGATAGAGCGGGTTGTTATGGAAATAATTATCATAGACGCCAATTTGTAACATACAGGACAAACCTTGATGTCTGTTTACCTTCTTTAAGGACACAGGCTGCTTAGCCAATAATGTTATTGTTCCCATTCTGTGACCGGTCAATACTGGGTCACAGATGGTCTGTGTTGTGGGTACACTGGGACACTTCCTTCTCTGTATTTGTGGACTCCAAGGTGAAATCTTCGAGGTCATAAGTGTCCGACGCAAGTAGCTCAGTGTTCTCACACTGTTTAGGCTATCTTCTCAAATATGTTGTTTACTCTCTGCGAAACCATTTAGATGGGCTGGCAAGAGAGAGGCTCTCCAGAATTGACGTGGCAACTCTACCGTGAAGTCAGAACCTCTGACTCTTGGACTTGTGATGTGAATCCTCCGGCCGTAACTCCAAATAAACCATCAGTGTTTGACATCAAAGCTACTGCTCCTACCGTGTCTCCTTCCTGAGTCGGTGACTCCCACTGCATAGCTACACAGAAGTTTCCTCTACACGGGTCACATATGGCAAATGTGTGGTTGGGGGGAACCAGGTCAATTAAAGTACTTATTTAACTATTAAATACATTGAGTTTGAGTAAAATACTTGGTTACTGATTAATTTAGGCTATAATATATGAAATTGCAAAGCAAAACTGCTGTAATTGATTTATTTTGTCCTTTGGTATTTTTTAAAGGTTTTCAACCTGAAAGAATCCTAATGTGTCCTTGAAAAGTTGAAATAAAGAAAAGGAAAAAGGATTCCAGTTGTCCCTCAAGCCTCTCAAATGTGGGCAAACACTCAAATAAATGCCAAAAACCCAGAGAACTTGACAATACTTATCAGAATAAAAGTATGTTAAATAACACTGCTAGTTACTTTACTCAGTGGAGGCTCGTCCATTGAGGAAAGGGAGGACCATCCTCCCTACAGTTTCAGAGAAAAATAAACTTTGAAGAGAACAATAAATACACCTCAATTTAAAAGATAAGTCTGTTAAAATACAGATAATAGCCCTGAATTTGGGACTGAAATGGGGCTAGAGAGGACGAGCCTCCCTTTGGGCGGGTCTAGCCAGAGGCTCTGGATTGGGCGCCTATATCATCAGTGAACCAATCAGCGGATCTGACTGCGCATCAGAGTGTTGATGGGGAGGCTTATCAGCGATATCAGAGTTTTTTCTGAACCGGGGAACAGGGGCGCTGTGCCCTCTTACCAAAATAAATTCCTTGAATTAGGCTTTGATTATGTTCTGGCCCGCCATCTTGCGGCTCAGCAAAACATTGGCCCACGGCCAAACTTACTTGCCTACCCCTGATTTATGGTAATAGACTTTCTCTCCATCTTCTTCAATATTTATTTTGCAGGTTATACAATTGCTGTGACAGAGATAAAATACACTCTTATCAAAGTTAAAGATGGCTTCCACTGATGAGCTTCAGTATTGTTTTCATTTCGTTTTACAGAATGTCAGCATCATGATTATATTGCTATATAAATATTGCTTATTGTTTTTGCTACATTCATTGTACAGTCCTAGAATAAAATCTATTATCTTCTTAAGTTTCACTCTCTGTTATTGTTCTATTCAGCAGTGACTCCTCTGTCTTCCTTTTAACAGACATTCCAGCTTGTATTGCTATAACAACTCCACCACCAACAACTCCTCATATAACAACTCCACCACCACCACCTCTTCCTATAACAACTCCAACACCACCAACTCTTCCTACAACAACTCTACCACCAACAACTCCATCACCAACAACTCTTCCTACAGCAACTCCAACACAACAAACTCTTCCGATAACAACTCCACCACCAACAACTCCACCACCACCAACTATTTCTATAACAACTCCACCACCAACAACTCCTCCTATAACAACTCCACCACCAACAACTCCACCACCAACAACTCCTCATATAACAACTCCTCCTATAACAACTCCTCCTACAACAACTCCAACACCAACAATTCTTCATACAAAAACTCCATCTCCAACAACTCTTCCTACAACAACACCAACATCTCTTCCTACAACAACTCCATCACCAACAACTCTTCCTACAAAAACTCCATCTCCAACAACTCTTCATACAACAACCCCATCACCAACAACTCTTCCTACAACAACTCCATCACCAACAACTCTTCCTACAACAACAACTCTTCCTACAACAACTCCATCTCCAACAACTCTTCCTACAACAACTCCATCACCAACAACTCTTCCTACAACAACAACTCTTCCTACAACAACTCCATCTCCAACAACTCTTCATACAACAACTCTATCACCAACAACTCTTCCTACAACAACTCCATCACCAACAACTCTTCCTACAACAACAACTCTTCCTACAACAACTCCATCACCAACAACTCTTCCTACAACAACTCCATCTCCAACAACTCTTCCTACAACAACTCCAACACCAACAACCCCATCACCAACAACTGTTCCTTCAACAACCCCATCACCAACAACCCTATCACCAACAAGTCTTCTTACAACAACTCCATCACCAACAAGTAAGACTTAAAGGACAGTATTTTATAAAACAAAAACCAAATGATAATATTATTTACAAGTGAGACATCAACTGTATTTGTTTTTCTTTAAAATGCTCTCCCTGCAGCTCCTCCTATTCTCTTTGAATACATCATTGTGGTTGAGTTGAACACCACAGATGTCACTCTAATAAATCAACTGAGTACCATTCTGAGAAGCATCCGTTACCCCTTTATCATCAACAACACACAAATCCTTGATGTAAACATTTCTACAGGTACAGATAAAAGCTTATTTTACATTGGTTTACATGATGTAAATATGTTTAATATTTGTTGGTGTTGTCAATCCAAAGTTTGAATCTAAAAGTTGTAAAACACACTTTATGAATATGACAGTTGGAAAAACTCATTACATGTTTAAAATTAATTGTGTTTTTGTTTGGTCACAAGTTTGCTCTCCGAGCAGTACTGGTTACCAGTGCAGATGTGAGGATCAGTATCGTTGGTCATGTGACCAGTGTTTACAGTATACATCCTGTGACAACATCACTGGGGACACATGTGGATGCATCAATGCCATTCCTCCTGATGGACAATACTGCCAGCCTTCTGGTCAAAACAGTAAGTTGGTCTGCAGTAATCACTGCATTCTGGCCTGCATTTTCTATTTTACTCAAATGTAATATAACAAAGTCAAACTAGCAATGTCATGATATACAAGTAAGTATGGATATCTTGTTAATAAAACACATATAAACATATTATGTACATGACCCAACTCTCTTGTAAACTTTTGTTCATTTATGGTAATAGACTTTCTCTCCATCTTCTTCAATATTTATTTTGCAGGTTATACAATTGCTGTGACAGAGATAAAATACACTCTTATCAAAGTTAAAGATGGCTTCCACTGATGAGCTTCAGTATTGTTTTAATTTCGTTTTACAGAATGTCAGCATCATGATTATATTGCTATATAAATATTGCTTATTGTTTTTGCTACATTCATTGTACAGTCCTAGAATAAAATCTATTATCTTCTTAAGTTTCACTCTCTGTTATTGTTCTATTCAGCAGTGACTCCTCTGTCTTCCTTTTTTACAGACATTCCAGCTTGTATTGCTATAACAACTCCACCACCAACAAATCCTCATATAACAACTCCACCACCATCAACTCTTCCTATAACAACTCTACCACCACCACCTCTTCCTATAACAACTCCAACACCACCAACTCTTCCTATAACAACTCTACCACCAACAACTCCATCACCAACAACTCTTCCTACAGCAACTCCAACACAACAAACTCTTCCGATAACAACTCCACCACCAACAACTCCACCACCAACTATTTCTATAACAACTCCACCACCAACAACTCCTCCTATAACAACTCCACCACCAACAACAACTCCTATAACAACTCCTCCTATAACAACTCTTCCTATAACAACTCCTCCTATAACAACTCCTCCTATAACAACTCCACCACTAACAACTCCACCACTAACAACAACTCCTATAACAACTCCTCCTATAACAACTCCTCCTACAACAACTCCTACAACAACTCCTCCTACAACAACAACTCCATCACCAACAACTCTTCCTACAACAACAACAACTCCATCACCAACAACTCCATCACCAACAACTCCATCACCAACAACTCCATCACCAACAACTCTTCCTTCAACAACTCCATCACCAACAACTCCATCACCAACAACTCTTCCTTCAACAACTCCATCACCAACAACTCTTCCTTCAACAACAACTCCATCACCAACAACTCTTCCTTCAACAACTCCGTCACCAACAACTCCGTCACTAACAACTCCATCACCAACAACTCCATCACCAACAACTCCATCACCAACAACTCTTCCTTCAACAACCCCATCACCAACAACTCTTCTTACAACACCCCCATCACCAACAACTCTTCCTACAACAACTCCATCACCAACAACTCTTCCTTCAACAACTCCATCACCAACAACTCTTCCTTCAACAACTCCGTCACCAACAACTCCGTCACCAACAACTCCATCACCAACAACTCCATCACCAACAACTCCATCACCAACAACTCTTCCTTCAACAACTCCATCACCAACAACTCCATCACCAACAACTCCATCACCAACAACTCTTCTTACAACACCCCCATCACCTACAACTCTTCCTTCAACAACTCCATCACCAACAACTCTTCCTTCAACAACTCCGTCACCAACAACTCCATCACCAACAACTCCATCACCAACAACTCTTCCTACAACAACCCCATCACCAACAACCCTTCCTTCAACAATTCCATTACCAACAACCCCATCACCAACAACTGTTCCTTCAACAACCCCATCACCTCCATCACCAACAACCCCACCACCAACAACTCCATCACCAACAACTCTTCCTACAACAACTCCATTACCAACAACTCTTCCTTCAACAACTCCATCACCAACAACTCCATCACCAACAACTCCATCACCAACAACTCTTCCTTCAACAACTCCATCACCAACAACTCTTCCTTCAACAACTCCATCACCAACAACTCCATCACCAACAACTCTTCCTTCAACAACTCCATCACCAACAACTCTTCCTTCAACAACCCCATCACCAACAACCCTTCTTAGAACAACTCCACCACCAACAACTCTTCCTTCAACAACCCCATCACCAACAACTCCATCACCAACAACTCTTCCTACAACAACTCCATCACCAACAACTCTTCCTTCAACAACTCCATCACCAACAACTCCATCACCAACAACTCTTCCTTCAACAACTCCATCACCAACAACTCTTCCTTCAACAACTCCATCACCAACAACTCCATCACCAACAACTCTTCCTACAAACAACTCCATCACCAACAACTCTTCCTTCAACAACTCCATCACCAACAACTCCATCACCAACAACTCTTTCTACAACAACCCCATCACCAACAACTCTTCCTTCAACAACTCCATCACCAACAACTGTTCCTTCAACAACCCCATCACCTCCATCACCAACAACTCCACCACCAACAACTCCATCACCAACAACTCCATCACCAACAACTCTTCCTTCAACAACTCCATCACCAACAATTCTTCCTTCAACAACTCCATCACCAACAACTCCATCACCAACAACTCTTCCTTCAACAACTCCATCACCAACAACTCTTCCTTCAACAACAACTCCATCACCAACAACTCCATCACCAACAACTCTTCCTTCAATAACTCCATCACCAACAACTCCATCACCAACAACTCTTCCTTCAACAACCCCATTACCAACAACCCTTCTTAGAACAACTCCACCACCAACAACTCTTCCTTCAACAACCCCATCACCAACAACCCTTCTTAGAACAACTCCATCACCAACAACCCTTCCTACAACAACTCCATCACCAACAACTCTTCTTACAACAACTCCATCACCAACAACTCCATCACCAACAACTACATCACCAACAATTCTTACAACAACAACAACTACATCACCAACAAGTAAGACTTAAAGGACAATATTTCATTTAGAAAAAACAACATTACAATATTCATTTTAAGTGAGGCATCTTCTGTATACTCCCTTTAAAATTATCTCCCTGCAGCTCCTCCTATTCTCTTTGAATACATCATTGTGGTTGAGTTGAACACCACAGATCTCACTCTAATAAATCAACTGAGTACCATTCTAAGAAGCATCCGTTACCCCTTTATCCTCAACAACACACAAATCCTTGATGTAAACATTTCTACAGGTACAGATAAAAGCTTATTTTACATTGGTTTACATGATGTAAATATGTGAAATATGTGTTGGTGTTGTCAACCGAAAGTTTGAATCTAAAAGTTGTAAAACACACTTTATTAATATGACAGTTGGAAAAACTCATTACATGTGTACAATTAATTGTGTTTTTGTTTTGTCTCAAGTTTGCTCTCCGAGCAGTACTGGTTACCAGTGCAGATGTGAGGATCAGTATCTTTGGTCATGTGACCAGTGTTTACAGTATACATCCTGTGACAACATCACTGGGGACACATGTGGATGCATCAATGCCATTCCTCCTGATGGACAATACTGCCAGCCTTCTGGTCAAAACAGTAAGTTGGTCTGCAGTAATCACTGCATTCTGGCCTGCATTTTCTATTTTACACAAATGTAATATAAAAAAGTCAAACTAGCAATGTCATGATATACAAGTAAGTATGGATATCATGTTAATAAAACACATATGAACATATTATGTAAATGACCCAACTCTCTTGTAAACTTTTGTTCATTTATGGTAACAGACTTTCTCTCCATCTTCTTCAAGATTTATTTTGCAGGTTATACAATTGCTGTGACAGAGATAAAATACACTCTTATCAAAGTTAAAGATGGCTTCCACTGATTAGCTTCAGTATTGTTTTTCTTTTCTTTTTACAGAATGTCAGCATCATGATTATATAAATATTGCTTATTGTTTTTGCTACATTCATTGTACAGTCCTAGAATAAAATCTAGTATCTTCTTAAGTTTCACTCTCTGTTATTGTTCTATTCAGCAGTGACTCCTCTGTCTTCCTTTTTACAGACATTCCAGCTTGTATTGCTATAACAACTCCACCACCAACAACTCCTTTTATCACAACTCCAACACCAACAAGTAAGACTTAAAAGACAGTATTTCATTTATTCATTTTGAGCAGTTTGGATAATGTATCTTTAAGTTACAGCATCTTCTTGTTCAATAGCGATCGTCTCAAAATGGCGCTATGGTAATGACATCCCATTTAATAGGATGTAATCCCCAATGAAGTAGGAACTCTCTTCTGAGTACAATGATGCTTTCCACGACAGTCTATGGCAAACGGTTCATGATATGTAAGGGGGCGTGGCAAAAGCGTGGGGTGGGGCACATTGTTACTATTGCAACAGGAACTCCCTTTCTACGACAATGGGTTCATTTGTTATGGAAGGGGTTGGGGAAACCATCATCCAATAAACAAGATCGCTTTTGAGTGCAACGATGCCTTTCATAAGAGTCTACAACAAACTGTTTATGAGTTATTTGGGGGGCAGGGCAATTATATTGTTTAAGTCGTATCTGTCTGTAAGAAGTTTTAATGTAAATCTTAATGAATTTACTTCCTCCTCTGCTCCTCTCCCATACGGGGTACCCCAAGGCTCCATTCTTGGGCCGATTTTATTTTCCCTGTACCTGCTCCCCCTGGGCGCCATCATTAATAAATATGGTGTCTCATTTCATTTTTATGCAGATGACTCGCACATCTACATGCCCCTGAAAATAAATGACCCAAACCCTCAACATCGCCCGTCAGACTGTCTGCAGGACATCAGAGCCTGGATGGCCTTGAACTTTTTAAAATTCAATGAAAAAAAGACAGAGGTGATAATATTTGGACCCAGTGGTTGCCCCAATGCCCCGCCTGTGCTGGATTCTCTTGTCCCATATGTGAAACTCATTGTCACAAACCTGGATGTACGGATTTATCGCGATTTCAAACTAGACAAACAGATCAATTCTGTGGTAAAATCCAGCTTCTTTCAGCTAAGACTTTCAGCAAAGGTCAAGCCTTTCCTTTCTTTTGATGATACACAATAATACATTGTTTCATATCCACTAAACTAAATTACTGCAATGCTCTGTATATTGGAGTAACCAAGGCTTCCCTGTCACACCTACAGCTGGTCCAGAATGCTGCTGCACGCCTACATCAGGTGTAAAACACTACAACACAAACAATGACAACAACAAAAAGTAAATGCAACGAAACGATTGCTATCTGACTTCACCATGTTGGCAGATATTTTCTTAGTTGACTTGTCAGATTCATCCTTCAGCTTAACAAAAATGATTGTAACATTTTGTTTTTAGTCTCAACAACAGTCACTACACCGGGGTGAACCCTCCAACACCCACAATGTCAGCAAAAATAAGTCAGTGCAAAATAACAATTGTTAGATTACTTTTCCGAGTGGTTGGTTATTGTCTAAATTGACTTGTCAAATGAATTCTTCATCTTAACAAACAATGGGTATGATATTGTTCTTTCAGACTGAACAACCATTGCTTCAATTGGTATAAACTCCACACAAGCTTATTTAAATTCAGCTGAGTTGAGTGTGTCAATGATGAAGATTGGTGAGATCATTAAGAATGTATATGCTCAAGATGAACAGTGACCGAGGACCTGTAGGGTTTGATCTGAATAACTCGAACAGTGTTCTAAGGAACTGCTTGAATTGCTGTTGACTTTTTCTCAATGCATTAGGCCATTATTCCTGTTTCGTAAGAAAAAATGGGTTTCAGGTTATATCAACAATGTAGCCTGAGCATAGAGAACAGATGCAAAGGCTGAAAAGGTCAGCAATGAGTGGTAGTTGTCTAACTTTAAGAGAAGGTGCCTGTTTTTGCAAGCCTTTAGTCAACACGAACATGGGAATGGGAAGTAAAAGGACAGTGTTGGCCAGTGACTAGTTTTTTTTCTTTTAATCATACATTTTGTATTGCAACATCTTCAATTTACAACACAGTACAGAAGACAATTCAGGTTGCATAACATTTTGGATTAATTCAATCCCATCCCTCTATCCTACATCCCACCCACCTACCCACCCACCCACCCACTCCATTCTAACCATACCGGTCCAATAATATCCCAAAATGTTAAATAGAGTTCCACAGGTATGCCATCTATACCCGGCGTACGGCCCTTATTTGTAGCTTTGACAGCTTTATATAGCTCCTCCAGCGTGATAGGTGACTCCAGTGTTTTGGTGTCATCTAATGATAATGTAGGGAGGCCTAACCCACTAAAAAATGTGGCGAAGTCTTCGTCAGAAGGAACTGAGCTACTTGAATAGTTCTTTAAAGTCATTTTTAAATGTTTCACTTATCTCCTCTGTAGAAGATACTGTTCCGCGTTTATTACATCTGATTGCTGGTATGGTCCTTTTAGCCTCTTGTTGTTTTAAAGTTAATGCCAAAAGGTGGCTTGGTCTGCTACCTTCTGCATAATACTTGTGTTTGGTTATATGGATCATATATTCTGCCCTGTGTCTTAATAGGTCGTTAAGTTCTGCTTGCTTTGTTTTGAGCTCACTTTCTATTGTTGTTGTGTATCTCTCTTTTAGGACTTTTTCCAACATATTACATTGTTCTTCTAGGTGAGAAATATTTTGCAGTCGGCTTTTATGTAGGTGGGAACTGAACCGTATAGCATTATTTCGTATAAAACCCTTGATGGTGGCCCAGACCACCGTCACATCTGTGACGCTATTCTTATTCAAGATTCGGTCAGTTTTGATCTCAATTGCGATATAAATGTGTTGTTCTTTAAAAGGGTTGTGTTGAACCTCCATCTAGTAGCCCCATTTTTATATTTCCATAGTTAAAATTTGCTAAAATTGGGTTGTGATCCGAGAGATGTCTGGGTAGGAACTCAATTGACTGTATTGAAGGCATCAGCCCAGAAGATAAAATAATGTAGTCTATTCGAGAGAAGGTTTTATGTCTCGTGGAAAAAATGTTATAGTCTCTCGCAGATGGATTATGCACCCTCCACTAGGGGTGTAATGGTTCACAGAAGTCACGGTTCGGTTCATACCTCGGTTTGGGGGTCACGGTTCTGTACGGGTTCGGTACAACAAGGAAAAGCAAAAAAAAGTCCCAAACGCATAATTTTTTTTTTGCTGTTATTTATTTTTAACAGTAGTGCAAGTTTTGGTATGAAAATAAGGAACTCTAACATTTGGAATCATTAACTGTATTACACAGTTAAAAACAAACCACAAACAGTAACACACACACTTAGATGGCCATATTATTTATAATGGCTGATGTCAAACAAAAAGGTTAAATAAGCTGTACAACTAAAAAGAATGTCTTGAAAATGTTAAAATAAATAATAAGAAAGTGTTTGAATCACAATCAATAAAAGGCAATACAGAACTGTATAACATCTCCTGATGTCAAAATATTAAATAAATACAATGATAAATGTAAAACAAAATACAATCTGTACCTTTATGAGCATTGTCTAACATGTGTAATTAACTTGTGAGTGTGTGAGGCCATTATGCCTAAATAAAGCTTTACTCTATTTTCAAGTGTTTCTTCAAAAAGATGAGTTTGTCTACGTTGTCAGTAGTGAGGGCAGATCTGTTGGCGGTAACTATGTCACCTGCCGTCGAGAAAACCCTCTCGCTGGGGACTGAGACTGACTCGGATGTGATTGAGCATGTTTGACGTGTTACCACTAGCATACCGCACCGCTGTCGAACAACGCAGACTCCTCGTCCGATCCACAACTCGCACCCCATCATTGTTGTAGTCCACAGGGAACCCGAAATGTTCCCACACACCTGATTTAAAAGAAGCAGGTGGGTCTTCTAGCTCCTGTGTGTTGTGTGAACTCGCCATAGCTACTAACTTTTCTTCTTCATGTATTGTGTTCGTTTTGTTGTGTTTTGTTCTTGTTCTTCATTTGTCATTTACGGGCGGCTGGCTTTTAGGCGCAATACCGCCCCCTGGATTATATATAGTGTAATACTGCCCTGAATGACAGACTTTTTTTCCCACTCGTAAAAAAAGGCGTATTCGCCGTGTGACTGCATGTGCCGAACTGTGACGTCCGAACCGTGACGGTACGGGACAAATACGGATACCGTTACACCCCTACCCTCCACACATCAATTAAGTTTAAGTCTGTTATAAAGAGATTAAGTGCTTTGGAAGCAGATTCTTGAAAACTTGATAGAGTTGCAGCAGATTTGTCAAGGTTATTGTTTACAAAAGCATTCATTACATTACATTGCATTTAGCTGACACTTTTATCCAAAGCGACTTACAATAAGTGCGTTCGACCAACAAAATGCAAACTTGAGGATAACAGAATCATATAAGTACATCAGTGCTTTGTTAATAGTTCTATCGCTCGAAGTGGAGTCGAAAGAGATGAGTTTTCAGTCTGCGCCGGAAGGTGTGTAAGCTATCTGCTGTCCTGATGTCAATGGGAAGCTCATTCCACCATTTTGGAGCCAGGATAGCAAACCCACATGTTTTTGCTGATGGGAACTTGGGTCCCCTTCGCAGCGAGGGTGCAGCGAGCCGTTTGGTTGATGCAGAGCGGAGTGCACGTGCTGGGGTGTACGGTTTAACCACGTCCTGGATGTAGGAAGGCCCAGATCCATTCGCAGCATGGTACGCAAGTACCATTGTCATTCATGTCCGACCCAACATATAATTGGTAGTCATTTAACTTCAGTAACTGTGAAGTGACTGAGGGAAAAAAAATCAGCTTCAAATACTGTCGGGGCATATATGCTAACAAAAGCCACTTTTTTTAATCTGGAATAGACGTGCAGCAATAGGCTAGACGTCCTTTATTGTCAGAGCCAATCCTTTCAATTGATACATTTATGGTACGCCTCATAAGTATTAGGGCTGAACGATATACCGTGTCATGGCGATAACCGCGATATGCACATGCGCGATATTCACACCGCAGGGACGTGCGGTTTTATTCTTTTTTTTTTTTTAAATGCTGACGCACTTTAGCACAGAATTCAAAATAAAGTTACTTATCTAAACTGCACATACAATATATCCTTTTAAAGCTGAGACTCCACAGATTATTTAAGTATAGTATCTAAGCGATCCGATCTCGCAACAGGGGAAGCAAACACAGACATCACAACACGTACCTTTTACGGAGCTTTTACGGGAGATCGTCTCACCGTAGCTGTCAATCTGATCAAAAGACGTGTTCAATGGCATTAAAACGAGAAAAAACGCGGCTGAATCGGTTGATCCATAGGTTGATAATTAGGGGTGCACCGAATGGGAAATTATTGGCCGAAACCGATACCGAAAATAGGAAACAGTTGGCCGAAAACCGAATGCCGAAAGGCCGAAAATGATTAATAGAAATATATATATATAATGTATACATTTTTTACCAATGTTGTTCAGCTACCTGATTATGGAAATAGACATGATTATGGCAAAACTTAACTTAAATAATAATCACTATTATGGGTCCATAAAACATTTATTCAGCACTTTTGAATGCATACAGTACATTTATATATGTCATGTATTATTGCTAAAAAACATTATATCGCAGTCTTAGTGTCGCCAACTCGTTTCTAATATGCAAAGACAACAAATGCGTCTATTAGGCCATAAGGTGAACCCTGTTATCGTTTCAACCCGCTCCACAGAAGTGAAACTACACAATCTTTAGTTCATAAAAAAGAACGAGTCATGCTTATCCACCAAAAAAAATATCGTCGCTAAAATTCCTGCCAATTCTTCTAGGCACGTAATTATTGGCTGAACTAGTCCCTTCGAAGCGTAATAATATCTTGGTCCAAAGTCGTGCCACGGTTCGTCACGTGATCGTGCTACACCAATTGGGTAGCTGCATATTGTCAACAGAAGTGAAAGATGGCGGCCGCCATGGTTACGCTAAACCAGACCAAATGGATTCTAAACAGTGCTGTATGCTTGTTTTATGTCATGTTTTGTCATATGTCTTAATACATCACTAAGTCCGAGGTATTTGCGTTATATACGCGGTATTTGTGAGAGGTTTTACTATCTGGGAACAGAGTTGACCATCGAATCAACATTGACTAGCAGCGTTTATCAGCCAACTCCAGCTACAAACAATTTCCCCACGGGGATTAATAAAGTATATCAAACTCATATTTATCAAACTATCATTCCTGGACTGCCATGTTCACATCGCTAGGTTCATTGGGATTATTCCATTAGACTGAGGACTTTTTGTCTGTCTGTTGTTACCCTGTACACGTTAAATGCACTCTTAAAATAAACATGACTTGATTTCTGCGTCCAAGAAGAAGGTTAACTTGTTACGTTAAGTAATTTAGATCAATAAAATGCAGTACTTCCAGGCTGAAGACTTTTCTTTTTGTTGCTGCTTTTAATTGAACTATTCATATCTTAGACTGCACTGTAACTTTTATCCATGTATTTTTTCTTTTAATGTTTCTTTTATTAGCTTTTCTTTTGAATGACTGATTTTAAATGCCATTTTCTTAATGTCTTTAATTTTTTGTAAAACACTTTGAATTGCCTTGTGTTGAAAAGTGCTATATAAATAAACTTGCCTTGCCTTACTTATACCAATGTCCATTGATTCATTTATTTACTCATTCATCCCTCCACAAATGAAAACAACACTGATGAACCATAAAAACGAGATTTATTACAAATATAAAAGGTATGACATAGAAAACAGTAGAAGGACATGTAATGTAGTATAATTGATTGGTGTCAGGCTGGGCGGAGCGGCTGATTGGGGCTGTGATTGCCTCAGCTGGTTAAAAGAGTCCTGCTGATTATACTCTGTTCTAGTACCAAAAACAAACGTATCTATGAGTGATGTGTGAGCGCGTCGGCCAGGCACTAAAACCAAAAGAACAGAAAAGAGCTTAAGAAAGATGGAAAGAAGGCTCTTTTATTCCTATTCCTCACTGTCAGTGTCAGGGCAGTCATCGTTCTCTTCCTCTGTTTCTTTTTTATTTGCACAATTTGAGCAATGACATAAGTCTGTGCAACAGAGTCCTGCAGAGAAGCATGAACATCTGCCTTTCTCACAGGCAGACTCTTTGCAGCTGCAGTGTATCACATGCAACACACTGTCAGGGGCAGGATTTCTTGTCATCCAGGTGACGTGTAAGTTCCCATCCTCTATTTCCCAACCATATCCAGCAGGTGATGGAGCATTCATTTCTCTTTTGAGACAGGACCTCATTATTGCTGCCTGGTAATTTGCCCTTTTGCAGTGCTGATGGAGGGCATCATGAGTAGGGGGAATGCTTAATTCTGGCAAGGCCGATGATGCCATACAGAAAGCCTTGTACCTAGCATCATTTACATGTTCGGCTGCTGGCTGATCATACAGGTGACATACATACCGGCAAAGAAGTGCAAATGTTGATTGCTCCAAGTCAAAGTTAGTACCTAAACTTCTGAAAGCCTTAAGGTAGTCATCTTTCTCACATGCAACAGCAAATGACTTTCTTTTGCCTTTGCCATAGAAAGCGCTTGTGGAGTCACACCCAGAGAACGTGTGAATTCCAATCAAGGCTGAACACACACTGGTTCCGAGAGCTGATGACACCATGGCAATGTCAATGATCCGTGTCCTGTTGCCAGTCCCTGTGAACACATATAAGCTGCATGGCAAATCTGCCTGCAGACTTACAGCAATGACTGCCACATCAGTGTCCGAGCTCTTGATGATGACAGCTTTGTGCTCCTGTGCAGCATGTTGGGCATGTAAAAACACCCGTGTGTCACATTCCTCATGATCACACTGCAGGTCTTCAACAACATCAACAGACTGTACACCCTCCATGACAGTTACACAGTGGCATTGATTTTGATGGGCAATGTACAAGCTGAGGTTTTTACCCACTGTTGTGAGGTCTGCATGTGTCCATGCCACATAAAGGAATTCGGCCAGTGCTTCCTTATTTTTTCCGTCAGAGAGAAACTTCTTCCACTGGGTTGGAGTTCTCTGATCTGGGCTGAAGATTGTTATTAGTTGTGACCCTGCATCAGCTCTACGGGACCGTTCTAGGCTTTTGATGCTGATGGGTGGATACCGGTCAGTGACAAAATCAATGCGTGTACACTTGTGATGCAAAGCAAGTTGGAGTATGCTCTGCAGTATGGTCTCTGCAAGCTCTCCAAATGTTGCTGGTCTGGATGGCATGGCCTGCATGACTGCCATGCCATCAAAAAGAATGGCACCACCTATTGGAACTTTGTCAACCAAGCACTCTCCACCTTTGCTCTGCAATAGATCCATGAGAGCTGATTTGTTTGTTTTGGCAAGTGAACCATCAGCACTTGCTAATGGATATGACACAGTTCCCAAGGAATATGACAGAATTTCCCTCATTTCAATTTTCCTGCTCTGGCCAAGGATGAGGAGCCTGGAAAATAACTTCTTGTCAGCACGCAAAATCACTTCCTTGCCTGCTGGTCAACACTTTGGTCATCTTTCTTCTCAGCAGCTTTCTGCAATTTGCCTAAACGGAAAAAAAGGACAACTCAATGAGTTTGTTGACGTATCTCTCACACATAATTGTACCTTTCAGTTATTCAACCACAGAGAATGTGTGTGTGTGTGTGTGTGTGTGTGTGGTGTGTGTGTAGTGTGTGTGTGGTGTGTGGGTGGGGGAGGGGGTTTGCTTACCTGCTTTTAATGTTTCAGCCTTACACAGTTGATCCCTTTGTCGCTTGCCTGCTTTGATGATCATTTCCTCCTTCATCTTGCATATAATGCACAGGGCAGGAAGGACGGGGCCAGAGCCTGCGATTGGCAGGCCTGACCTTGATCGTAGCTTCTCTGTTTGGCTTCGGTACGTGCTGCGAGACGTCGATGGGATGGGCTCGACCTCAAGGTCCTCCCTAACGTCTTGATCTCCCTCACGTGCGAGCCGTCTTTCCACCTTCGTCATGGCCTTTGTGTCGGTAAACCTTATGTAGCATGTGTGGTGGAAGCCAGCGTCCTCAGGAATATCTTCGAACTCGAAATCAAGACAGTGCTTGTGGTTTTCAGCCACCACGTTCCGAGAGTCTCCCTTCAAGCCGAGCGACCGTTGTAAGCTTGTCCTGTACGTATTCCATCTTGTATTGGTAAAACAATCAACCTTTTCGTGCTTCACAGACGTAATATGCATGTAACAATGTTTGTGTGTTGACAATTTTGACTTTTTGAGACTTTCTGGTGCGTTTTCCTCGTCTCCGCTACTCGATGAAACCATGGCGGCCGCCATCTTTCACTTCTGTTGACAATATGCAGCTACCCAATTGGTGTAGCACGATCACGTGATGAACCGTGGCACGACTTTGGACCAAGATATTATTACGCTTCGAAGGGAATAGTTCAGCCAATAATTACGTGCCTAGAAGAATTGGCAGGAATTTTAGCGACGAAATTTTTTTTGGTGGATAAGCATGAATCGTTCTTTTTTATGAACTAAAGATTGTGTAGTTTCACTTCTGTGGAGCGGGATTTCTTTTCTAAAGGACTTTTCGAGGTTCACCTTGCGGCCTATATGATGTATTTTCGATCAGACGAGATCTCTCTCCCCCGTCTGTGTGCGAGGGGGCGGGGCAGTTTACACACACGCAGCTGCTACATGCAGCGGAGCACACTGCGGAGATGGCGGAGAGAACGCGCTCCGAGGTGTGGTTAAACTTTACCCGTCTCGATGTGGACAATACTTGTTACCATAAGTGCAATAAGAGTTTAGCATGTAAGCACGAGCAATTTGTCTAAACATTTAGCAAAAGTGCACCGCATGCAGACGGAGGAATGTACCGGGTTCGACCGTCTTTCTAGCAGCTCTGTAGCCCCATCCACGAGTAACGTTTCCACGTCAGGTGTTATGTATGCTAGCAGCAACACACGGAGTTAACTCAATGATACAAACATGGTCGCCGCGTCTTTATTACGTCATCACAACAACACGTTAGGTTACCAACGTAAGCCTGTTCTGACATTCGGTGATATTTTTAAAATGCCCTTTCGGCCGAAAGGGCATTTTTAACCATTTTCGGCCGATAATTTTCGGTGGCCGAATATTCGGTGCATCCCTATTGATAATGTATCTGTGGCTTTGAAGCAATTGTTTATAATCCATAATTCCATTTTTATGTAAAAATCGGAGCACAACAGTTATCTGCTAATGGTAGCTACCAGAGTGTATGCAGCTTCCGGTTTTGGCTACGCGTCACTCACTCCTTATTTGGTAATGTGTGTGTGTTAGACTGCGCTGGACTGCCGCATAGCCGAGACCGGAAGCAGCAGCCACTCTGGTAGCTACCATTAGCAGCTAACTTTTGCTCTGCGATTTTTACATAAAAATGGAATTATGGATTATAAATGAAATACTTTTTTTTATACAGAGACGTTAAAAACCTATGGATTAACCGATTCAGCCGCGTTTTTTCTCGTTTTAATGCCATTGAACAACACGTGTTTTGATAGTTTTGATACCACTAGGTATGGGATGGAGATCCGATTCTGGGACTTATCTGATATTCTGTAAAGAGAAACAATACAATGAATCAGTCAATGATGTGGTGGTAACCAGAAATGTGGGATGCCCAAAGAATGAACTGGTGTTGAGCTGAGATTCAAGTAAGTCTGTGCGGGAGCTGCATGATGTCTAAAGAACAAGATATATATTTTAAGAATCTACATGAAGGATAAATGTATGTTTTCTGTGTGGACGTGTATGGATTTCCTAGACCAGCAAAGAACAACAGCTATAAAGATGGCTTCTAGCACATGGAGCAAAAATAAAGACAAGCGGGCCTGTGAGCGAGATCAATATCCTCAGGTTTGGTGATAAAGAGCTTGTAGAAGAAGGAGATGCAATTCCAAGACAACAAATATTGCCAAGACGCTTTTCCATCTTGCATGCATCTTCCAGAACAACTCTATTGTAGAGTTAGGGAGGGCTGCAGCTTTATGCAGGTCGGACAGGAAGGATTTTGCTTGAGGAATGGAAAATGGCATAATTGATGTAACCAAGGAGGGCTACTAGCTTGCATTTGCTGCAACTGTCAGCCAGCAGATAGTTTGACAGAATCAAAGTCTGAGGTAAGGATAGTGGAGTGACAAAAAGACTGTGATAATACTTGAGGGCATGATTCAAGTCTGTCGTCGAGTAATTCGAGACAAACGGTGCTCAGATGTGTTGGTAGTGTTCACAGGTGATCATTGCTGTTTTTAAGGCTTGGCCCTGCTCTTGAAACTAAATGTACCAATGATCTACTTGACTTGTTAAGGTGTGTATTCTTCAGCTTAACCAACATAATTATGAAATGGTCTTTTCAGACTCAACAATGGCTGCTACAACAGTTGTGACCACTACAACAACCACAATGTCTCCAACAACCACAAGGTCTCCAACAACCACAATGTCTCCAACAACCACAATGTCTCCAACAATCACAAGGGCTCCAACAACAGGTAAGGGAAATATACAAATGTTTACATTACTCTTCTACGTTAGCAGCTGTTCTCAGCAATAGAACATTATCACAAGTTGCAATGGTCTTTTTATGCGTGCATTAAGTGTTTATGTTAGAGTGACACACTTTTAGATCAATATGTACCAAAAATGTATTGCAAGTTTTAACATGCTTCTGGTTACTACACATCCAAACACTACAACATCCAAAACAATACCAACATCTGTAGTTACCAGTTGTTTTTTTAATATAAGGAGTTGAGTGTATTTTCACTAATGCATCTTTACTTGCACGGTTTCACTTACACTATTTTTTTCTTTTTGTACAACAGATGCGAAAACGACAACAGCTGCAACAACATTTATGACATGTGAGCGCTTCAAAACAATCATGACATTCAATTTCCTTGTTATCTCTAGACAGTAGTTATTTAATTAAAGTTGGGTGAAACATGTGTATGTTAAAATGTATTATTTAAGATACAACAACACTTGTTACAAGTGTGAAAACAACATTCACCATGGGAACACCAGCAATTGTAACAGGTCAATGTTTTTGTCTTTTTTGTGGTGCTAAATTCGTTTTTTTATTTGACAGCAATAATACATAATGAGAAATATTACAGCATGTATTATTATCATTATTAAGCTGTTATTAAAATAATTTAGTTAGTCTTTAAGTTTCAGTGATGTTAAATGCTTGTCCAGTATTTATGTATTCAACATTTTGTATTGGCAAAAACCTTCTGGGAAACCTATTGTTTGAAACTATTAAGTCATCTCTCTTAATAGGAGAGCTGAACGTACAAGTTGTATTTATCTTTTTTCAGATCCAAAAAAAGTGTTAACATTTTTAACAAGTTTAATCAGAATATTTGGAATCCTTAGTCATCAGAATCTAATTAAATTGAATTGATTAATTGACCCAACATCTATTGACAAAACACATCTTAACACTGCAACACCTAACCTAATCCAGGAATACTTCTTCTTGCTTATAACAATGTAGTCACACCATGGTATATTGTATTTGAGATAAACATACTTTCGGTGCAGTTTAAATGTCTTGATGCAAGTGATGAGGGATATAATAACTCGACTCATACTGTCAACAGTAACACACTTTTATAAAGTAGTCTTTCAAACGCCAACATCTCTTTCAACAACCATCAATACCTGTATTTAGCAATAAGCATTTCGATAACTCATCCCTGGTTATTTGTAGAACATTTTCTGTAATTTAGGTATTTCCCTCTACAGATGATCATCAACATCATTTCAACAACTATTGTTACCACCAGGTTTTTAAGAGATATGTGATGGGGAAACAGCTCAGTAATTACATTGGGAAAGGGAGTAATGGACATGTTTCATACACGTTTTTCCATTATTACCCTTTGTTAACTAGAATGACTTCAATTTATAATTTCATATATTCTGCTACAACAGCTCCAACACTGACCACAATTGCGACAAGTAATCGCTACACAATAATTAAAACTCTTACATATTATAATTATGAGTGATTGTTACAATTATGGTTGAAAGGGGTTGTTAATGTTCTTGCCAAACCTTGCAATTCACATTTAAAGATACTTGAACTAAATGTACTTGTGTTTTCAGCTTCTAGAAGGACTACTAGTGTGACAGACATTACCTCCACCCCAGCTCCAACCACAGCACTCACAACTGATGCTACTACCAAGGCTACACCTGCAGTACAACAGACCACTGCTCCTGTGAAAGGTATTTTTTGTTGACAAAAATGTAGTAATGAGGCTCTATCTAGCTCATTGCTTTATAACAGGGGTGTCAAACTCAAATACACAGTGGGCCAACATTAAAAAATCGGTACTAGTCAAGTACTGGTTCAATGTTTATTGCAAAACGTATTGAAATGAACTTATTGCACATATTAAACCTGGAACTAACAAAGCTTAAATTATTGCCCGTAAAAACAACATTAAATAATCAGTTGCATTCATTTCTTATGGCTCTATCTGCAGCTTTTCCGGAGTCAGCTTCAAAAAAACAATTTCCCTCAAAGAAAAAAGCAAACATGCCCTGTTGTCGCAAGAAAGAAAGTGCAGAAGGAAACATCCATTTAAACTCAGTGTGCTGCTCTGTGATGCTAGTTCAAGCCAGATACTTGGCATCTCATCTTGGGTGCAAGTTCATCAATGTTTGGGGTCAGGCTCTGAGCTGAGGAGACCCTCAGGATTGAGTGAAGGTGTGCGTGCAATATACCGGCGGGCCAGATGTAATAGGAATTAGAAATTATTCTGCGGGCCGAAATTAAATCCACCAAGGGCCTGATTTGGCCCCCGGGCCTTGAGTTTGACACATGTGCTTTATAACATCTCCATTACCTTTTTTTAGTAAATACATATCAGTGTGCGAAAAAGTACACGTCCCACCGTCCGGGACGTGTTATTTACAATATCGGACAAGTAGATCTGTCAATTGACTTGTCCGGCGGACAAGTGACGTTTATTGACAAATGATTGATACATTCAGTTTACAAATGGCAGAACTCATTCGCAAATTGTACGTGTCCGCCAATGTTCGTTTAGAAATGTTAGTTTCGGTTCTGCTTGTCGATTCCTAACGAAATGCATCTCGCGCTTTCTGTACAGTTAGACGGGGGAGCGGGGTGGGAAGTGTAGCACAGTGGCAGGGTTGGGAAGCAAAACTCGGTTCTGAGTAGGAACAAATAACAATTGTCCGGTACCGGGATTAATAAGAGTTGTGAGGACAGGAGGCGAGGCCGAGCTGCAGCTGCAGCTCTCTCATATGCTCCGTATCAGCTGATCGCTGCACGGTGCAGCTCAGTGTCTCTCTCTCTCTTTCTACACACAGCGGATCCGCTGCCCGTTTAACAGCCTCATCTTTGTCAAACTTTATTATGTTCTTTCTCTAACACGTAATGAAGGTTATTAATCGTTTTAGCTCCTGTGTTGTTAATATTGACCGCCATTTCCTTTATGAAGTAAAGCAGCCTCCCTGTCTGTGTCCTCGCGCTGTCCTCACATCCCCGGACCCCCAGACTCGGAGCAGCGCAGGGATGTCAGTATTAGGCTTGTTTGAGACACATTGCGGCTCGCCTCGAAAGTAGACGAGAGTAGCCGATCGCAGCCGGGGGAGGTCTCAAAAAGCTCGTCTTAAGTCGGACAGCTCGGAGTCGGAGTCGGCTTGACTGGGTTTGCAATGGCGGCAATTGCGTTGGCGTTTTTCGTTGCAGATGAAGTGGATGCAATAGAAATCCTGCAACTATTATATCACTACAAATGAATGACTCAAGTGTCAGTTCATTTTGAAACAAATCAGTACAAGGGGGGTTGAATACATGTAAAAGACAGAACCACTTATTACTTTTCAAAACTACTTCCGTCAGTGGTCTTGACAAGTTTGCATTTATAAAGAATGCACAAATGTGTATATTCGTTAATGTCAGATATGTACTAAGTAAATGCATTTGTTCCTGCTCAAGATTAGATTCAACTTTATTGTTATTGCACATATTACAGGTACTGAGACAACGAAATGCAGTTTAGCTTCTAACCAGGTGCAACAAGCAGTAAAGTGAAAAGTAATGTACACAACCTACAGAATAAAAATGAATTGAATGATGAATAAACAGTGAGGGGTATGAATACACTAGATATCAGCCTGTGAGCAGCATGAACAGTGTGTATGAATATGCTAAGATATATAAAGTATGAAAACGGTAAGCAGTATAGTATAACATATATAGATATTAATGTCATGATGATAAACATTGTGGAACAATGATGAAAAATGGGAATGGATGTGGCGACGTAAAACTGACACAAAACAACAACAAACTTTTGCCAGCCAATTGGAGAGTTTCATCAGCAGCACGTGGTAAAAATCACCAATGAGCACTCAGCTCGAGATACCAGCGAGACGTTTCCCATCAAGCATTTCGCTTCTGCAGCCCGTGGAGAGCAACTGCGCCAACTCGCCTCGCCTCGCTCTCAAGGCTGCGGGCGTCTTTGTCCCGCGAAATTTCAAAGTCTCATGTGGGCGGGCCTCCAGAGCAAGTCGGACAAAATGACTAACCATCATGCAACGCACTAGCAAGACGTTGATCGCAACTGCGCAGGTCTGCGCAGGTCTTGCTTGTCTCAAACAAGCCTATTGTTTATGAAGCGGGCTATAGAAAGTAGCTACATTATTGAAATGAAAATACTATTTATTTACTTTTACAAACAGTGAGCAGCTGGGCAGCTGCAGCATGTGTATTGCAGGACATGTGTAAGAGTGCAAGCGTCTTTGAGTTGTAGAAAAGCGCTAGGCCCATAGGCTATAAATATAATGTATTATTATTATTATTAGGTTATGTCCTATGTGTTGGACATGTGTGGTTGGACTTTGTCTCACAGGCAGGTTGCAGTGTAACATCAGAGGACACTGGGCCAATTGTACATTCTCAAACTGCACCACTTAGAACTAACTAAACAATGCAGAGATTATTTTTATATAATTGTATTCAATAACCGTAAGAAATTAAACAGTATGAAGTGATTTGTAAATAGGAATACAGATTTGACTTAATGTTTTCATAAATATATTTTTCTCCCAGTTTGACTTATTTTTACCCTCTCAAAGAACCGGAATCGAGAACCGAAAATAACCGGAATCGAAAAGCAGAACCAGAATCGTTAAAATCCAAACGATACCCAACCCTATGTGTGATGCAGTAAAATATTACCGCTCACTTACGTTAGCGGTGTCGTAAAAACCGTGGGAAAATGTAAAATACGATGACGAAGAAGAAGATTCCAGTGGCCCCAATTTTTGTCCATTCTGGACAAGTGAACAATGTATTCGGACAAGTAAATTGCCAAACTCACTTGTCCATGGACAAGTACTCTCTAAAAACTTTTTCTCACACTGCATATTGATTTGTGTCTTTTCCCCTCGGTCACCAAGACTTGAAAGAAACTATTTTCTTGTTCTTGTAAACTACTTTTCACTGTGGGTTTTGAATATATTTCTTAATGATAACATGTATGTGACATCCCTGCAGCCTACATATGCTGATAGCTAAGCTTGTCTTAACAAAAATAAAAATGACATTACTTTATTATGCAGCACAGGGTTCATTTTTTAAAAGCATCCATACAAAGAAAGCACAGGCGAGCCAAACGTGAAAAAAGGGCTTTGACCTCAGGGTGTAAATGGACATATGTCATTCATTCAAAAATTAATTGATGAATTATAAATTGCAGTTCTGCTTGAATATAGGTCAGACTATTTAATTGCTACCTTCCACATGACATCTCAACACTGTTGTTGAAAAGGATATTTGCATTTTATAGAGATATGGGTGTTATACCCTGGATCAAATGTAACATTTGTGATATTGATTGATCTGCAAGTCATGCAAACCAAATTAAACAATTATTCACAATGGTCTCCTCTCTTCTCATATCTAGCTAGTATATTCTTTAAATCACAACAAACTGAATTGTTTGATCTTGTTTTTATTCTCTTTTCAAATAAACAGGGTTCAATTTGGAAATGACAGTGCAATTAAACAAGATGTTCACAGACACATTGAATGATCCACAAAGTGCTGCATACAACGATCTTAAAAACACCATGAATGAAGTGGTAAGTGCATTGATAAATACCATATCAAATTGTAACCTGTATTTTCAGTTTCATTGGTAATGTTATGAACCGTATCTCTCCCACAGTTAATCAACAAGTATGAAAGAATAACAGGGTTTATTGGTGTTTCTGTGACAGGATTCAGGTATGGTAATTCTGGCATTTAAGACATATGGAGGCAGGAAATCTGTACACATTTGACACCACCATTTTGTTTTGTGTTTGTTCTTACAGAGAAGGAAGCATATTTACAGATTTTGTTGTTGTGACTACAGAGGTTAAAACAGCAGAATTGGCTAAAGCAAATAAAGAATTTTCAGAAGCAGTAAACTCTAATATTGCCCCTGTCATTGGCTCTGTCACTGCATTGTACAACAGTAAGTCCAACATAGCTAGTAGGTCATTACATTTTGTTTAACTTTTATAAATATCAAACTGATGTGTTTTTCTTTCTCCAAAGGTGAAGATGAATTAGGGTTTACCGCCCCAATTTATACTGGAAATAGCATGACACTGGTGTGCAAACCCAGAAACATTAATGTGGGACAAATAAGTAGTGTCGAGTGGACATTACGTGGAAGGGTAATTAAGCAGCTTGGAAGGAGAACAATAACTTTAAATCCTATAACAGGGTCTGTCCTAAAAATAAAGAAAGCCATTCTTCTGGATATTGGTAAGCAAAAGCTGGTAAAAATAAGTAAAATAATACTTCCATTTTAATTGATGCTAATAGACAAATTAATTTGCTGCTTGGTCCATCATATCTGTGCAAAAAAAATGACAATATCTCAATATTGGACTGAAAAAAAAACACATACTGTCATTGTATCAGAATGGAAATATACAGCTATAGTCAAATACTGGAATTTTCACAATTTAATATACTAATGGTATCATTCTTTTAAAAATGTTTACAGCAAACCAATGTAATCATTGTTTTTATTATCTTAATTACAGGGCTTTACCAATGCACTCTGATGGGCGACGTATTGCAGGTCATAAAAAAAATGGACGTGACTGGAAATGATATCCAACAAGCTCCCATCATAGAATCAAAGAGTCAAATAAACGTTAGATGTCTGGGGACAGAGGGACAAACAGAATCACTTGTGTGTTGTGTGCAGTCCCCTTTTAAGGTGAATTGGTTTAAAGACTCACCTAATCCTTTTGGTAAGTTTAAAATGTTTCAGAAAACTTCTCAATCTGGCCATACTGAAAACACGCATCCAATAACAGTTTATTTTATTAACACTGTTAAATGTTTGCAGATGCTGGTGTTACTGAAAATGGAAAGCAATTCTGTCGCACATATAAACGACCGCTAGGAGAATGCGGTGGATCAACGTCACTAAAATTGACTTGTAAGGTCGATAATCTCGAATATAGACGGGTAACAACATTGAACATTTTCGTAGAATGTAAGTGCAATGTTTCAAAAGTGACTATTCTTTTCCTTTGCAGTCTTTTTCCCCCAATATTTTGTGTAATACTAATTGATTATTATTTATCTCCTAAGCTTTTACATGTAAAGACGCTGATTATGGGGATGGACGACAAGGCGACAAATCTATTAAAGAATGTCCTACGGGTCAAGAGGGGGATAAGAGTGCGGAGTGTGATGATGGAGAGTGGAGATTGTTAGAGGACACTTGCGTTATCAAAGTAATCAAGGAGTTGCTTGTTTCTTCAGAGGTAAGTGATCAGCTGGGGATAACAATTCATCCCCATTTTAATTCTATAAAACACACAGTATAACATAAAGTTATTTCAAAAAACGGTCCTATGTTCACTAGTTCTACGTAACCAGACATTCCACGTTGTGCAAAAATGGTATGTAGGAAATATTTTCTTTCTAACCAACTACACCTGTCAACTCAGAGACACCATCTGTTCAACAAAACATGAATAAAATCTAAACGTTCTTATAAATCAACTCAACAGCAGAAATCATTACCAGTTGCTCAAGATAATCCACTGACCTTGTGAGAAGTTTCATTTAGTATGTATTTTATTTCAACTGAAGTACATTCGCCAATTCCAAGTGAGAAAAAATGTACCAAGCTAATTTGTTATAATATTTTGTATTGTTGTAAAAAAAAAAAAAAAACACGTTTTCGACCAACATCAGCACATTACATCACGGTGTCTGCTGTCCAGTAACTTCTTGTAATTAACTGACCACTGTTTTTAGATAAAGTGTGGCTCTGCAGCAACACTTCTTTAATTTTTAAAGGAGCCCTATTATGCTTTTTGAGGGTTTCCTTTCCTTTAATGTGTTATCTAGTTGTGGTGCATGTACATAGTCTGCAAAGGCTAACATTCCTAAAGTTCTCTTCATTGTCCTTCCAATATACTAAAGTAATCATAATATATATATATTCAACAAAAATGTTCATATTATGTATATATTCAACAAACAAATATTCATGTGTCCGAAAGGGAGCAGGAGGAAGCAAATGCTTATTAATTCCCACCCCTTACTTACTGCTGATCAATGATTATCCTTTAAATATTTTCTGAAAGTACTAAGTACTAACTGTAGAAGTGCTTACTGTGGCTTACATTTTAAATAATGACGTTTATCATTGTTCATCATTATATCTCTTAATCTTATATCCCTAGAGCGAGTTATTTTGTTTGTATGCATCATGCATTATTTTTATGCTTTGGCTAAAATGACTGTTACAGATGCAGAGCAGATGTGTTGTGAAATGTTTTTTTTTTACTGGCTACTCCTGCAGCACACAATCACAGTTCGTATCAGCAGAGGGGGAAGAAGTACTCTTATCTTGTACTTAAGTAAAAGTAGAAATACCACACTGTAGGAATACTACAAGTAAAAGTCCTGCATTGCAAATGTTACTCAAATAAAAGTACAAAGTAGCAACAAATGTAAAGAATAGTATCTAAAAATGGTAATTAAGTACAGTAATTATTAGTACTTGAGTAAATGTACTTAGTAACTTTACACCTCTGCATATCAGCTTTAACTGTTTAAAAGTAATACGCATCCCCTCTAGTAAATCATCAATTTCAGGATTCACATAAATATCAATACTTTTTCAACAAAGATGGACAAACTTGTCAAAACTGTGGTGGCTCAGATTAAGTAAACTAAAGATTCAAGATTCAACCATTCAAAGGCTTTATTGCCATGTGCAAAGTGGCTACAGTGTCATTTTGGCAATGAAAATCTTAAGTCCCAGGCTCCTCCAACTATGCATAATAAATATATAAAAGACAAACCGATAAAATATAAAAATATATTTTTTTGTTATTACAATGTTTCAAAACAAAGAACATTTAAGTTAATATGGGATAGGTCTCCAAATGGTAGTACCCTGTATCAAAGCACCATCCCTCACACAATCACATTCTTTTAGCCTCTTCTGTACTTTTTTGGCTTAAAATGTGCAGCTGTTGCTAGAAAAGAAACAGCTCTGTATTTTTCATGGTTTACAATCGCTCATTATATAAATGTATGTGTTTTTAATATTTACTTTAGGAGTTGCAAGTGAAGGATGTCCCAGATTTTGTGGAGGGTCTGAGTAAAGATGTCAAAGAGGTGAAGAAGGAAGTAAGAGAGTCACCTAATACCATATCAACTATCGTGGAAATCCTGGGCAACATTGCAGATTTGGCTCTGGTCGTCAATCAACCTGTCATAGAGGTAGGTTAAACCTCCCAGTTAGACATTTTTGGTTCTAAAAAAAAAACTCTTAGAATGTTACCATTCGATGTTCTAGGAATATGGCGGCAGTGGGAAACAGTTGTTCCAGGGTGGAGAGTCCTGGCTGGTCTTTGGAGTGTGGAAGGCCTTGGGTTCCTCCTGGGAGAGAAACAAAAATGAGTGTGAGGCAAAAGCAGGCAAAGTTGTCAAAGAACATGCTGGCAAAAAGCTAGAGCGGCACGCAACAAACCGTTCACCGCAACAAACCGTTCACCGCAACAAACCGTTCACCGCAACAATCCGGCAGGGAATGAGTGCAGGCTGCAAGCTTTCATAGTGTGGCTGATGAGCAGGTTACAGGTGTGGTTGATTGGAGATTGCTCCCAGCCGTGTCGAGCAGACCAGCAGGCAGGTGGGGGGGGGAGAGAGAGACACAGACAGTAGAAACAAACACATACAAACACTAACAGCAGAAAACAGATAGTTTGAATACGTCCCACTCATTGTCTCAATGCGCTCATACATCTTAAGAAAGTTATCACCAAAAATGTTAAGAATGTTTTTAGAGAACGTTATCCTACCTTTCAGAAGAACATTCTGGGAACCAAAATAAAACGTCTCGCTGAAAACATTCCTAGAACAATGAATGGTAACATTCTCAGAATTTTTTGAGAACCAAAAATGTCTAGCTGGGAACTCACACATGCCACCGCAAACATGCAATATCTGCTTACAGCTTATCATGAATTAAGTGCTTGTTTTTTTCAAAAGGAAAATGTGGTGACATCAGATTTTTTTAAAACATCCTTTTCAAACAAATGCAACAAATTTGTTTTTTAAAGCGCTCTAGAAATAAATCTGACGTTGACCATGACCGTGTTAATATTTGCCAGAAACGTTTTATAAAAAAAGAATAACATCCTGAAAACATTTTCAGAATGTATCTTGGAAAATGTTCTTCTTTTGTTTTCATGTAACATTGAGGGAACATTTTATAAAGAACATCTTTAATGTGTTACCCAACAACGTCCAAAACACATCCTTAGAATGCTGCAGGCAAAACGTTCCACCTTTGTTAACATATCACATTAAAGGAACGTTTTATAAAAAAACTTTCTGTCATCTCAGGCCTCAATAACATCCTGAAAACATCCTCTGAATGTTGCAGTTAAAACGTTATGTCTTAGTTAACCTTAAACCTTATAGGAACATTATTTGAAAAAATAAATATCCTAAAAAGAACATCAGATTAAAACGTTTCTTTAAAACCTTATTAGAACCAATAGGTAACGTTAGCCAAAGTTGTGAGAACAATCCCCGCTAGCTGGGCTTCCCATCAGCATTATCTTAGTTTAGATATGTCTTTTCTTTTTTTTCTTTTTTTTTATTGAGTCATGAGTTACATTTGTACGGTCTATATTTTTCCTTCCACCCCCCCCCCCTCTCCTGGTCCTAACTAGTAAAGTAAATAAATACATATATAGAGAACAATAAAGTGATGTAAAAGATTATTTAATTGTTTTTATAGATAAGGAAATAAAGAATAATGACAATAATACATGTATATATATATACTCACATATGTATACCCACATATATATATATATATATGTATATACCTACACCCATACCCACACATTTACATACTCATATACACATACACATACGTACGTACGTACGTACATGTATATCAAAAACAAAGAAACATACATTCATAGTCCCCCCTTTTTTCCTAACTTAGTGTCTTAAGTTCAGCTATGTAGGCTATCACAGAGGCCCAGACAGATTCAAATAGTTTTGAGGAGCCCCTCAGGTTATATTTAATCTTCTCCAAGTTCAGGTACAACATTACATCTTTAAGCCATAGAGATGCTTTAGGTGCTATTGAGGATTTCCATTCAAGGAGTATTCTTCTACGTGCTCATAGAGATGCAAAGGCTATACTGTCCTTAGTTTTCCTCCTCATCATTCGGTGGTCAGGTAGTACTCCAAAAATGGCAGTTTCTGCACATGGTGTCAATACCACGTCCAAGGCCTCAGTAAGGTGTTTGAAAATGCTTGTCCAGTATCCTTGTAGGCGAGGACAAGACCAACACATATAAGTTGAAGAAACACATTGGTCATTCACTCCGCCTCGAGTTGAGACGTTCATCCACTCATTCATGGTGTCGTCATGAAGAAACACACTCCTCAATGTCAGTTTCGGTACTTTAATGACAAGGATGACGACACCCTGAAACAGAGCAATGCAGCAAGATAAGCTGACAAAGTACTACATCCATGCATGTCATGACCAATAGACATATATTCAACGACACAGAGTATAGACACACCAAACAATAGTGGAAACAATCTTACATGAATGAGTGGATGAACGTCTCAACTCGAGGCGGAGTGAATGACCAATGTTTGAACTAAAATGGCCGCTCGGCACTACCGGGTCAGAGCACGGCAGCGACAGCAGTGACGCTGCCCTCTAGTGGCCGGCGATAAACTCTTCATTAGTCATGTTTGCTGGTGACATGTGACATCTGTTACAGGTATCCGTGACATTAGGGTATATTTTGGAGAGTTTAGAGTTGGTGTAATAGATACGGTGGACAACTTTTAGTTGTATAAGATTGAGCCTGGAACAGGACGTACTATTGTTCACTCTCGCTAATGCGCCATTCCCAGACATCATCATCTATAGCTTGGACTTGTTCATCTTCCCAATCTTGTTTGATTTTACCAAGCGATGTTTCTGTGAGACGGGAGATGGAATTGTAAATTCTTGAAACCAGTCCTTTTTCGGTTGTTAGAGTGTCCAGAATTGAGTCAATTATTGAATCCGGAGGGATATTGGGGAAGGAAGGGTTGTTTAGTTTAACCCAGTTTCGGACCTGGACGTAGCGAAATAGATGAGTGCCTGGAAGGCAACATTTGTCAGAGAGTTGGCTAAAGCTACCGAAAACATTGTTAATGCAAAGGTCCCTTACTGATAAGATCTAATCTCTGCCACATAGAGAAGGCCCCTTCAGTGTAAGGGGGGAGAAAGAGATGGTTGTTGCGAATGGGACTATGTATAGAGGATCCACAGAGTCCATGAGCCTTTCTGAATTGGGACCAAATTCTTAGGGTGGAAACAACAATCGGGTTATTCGAATATTGAGTTGGCCGGCTGGGTAATGTAGATGTAAGCAAAGCCAAGAGTGAGGTATTAGGACAGGATTTGGCTTCAAGCTCACACCAACTCAATGTTGGTTCCTTAGTCCATATAATTACTTTGTGGATATTGGCTGCCCAATAGTTGTGTCTTGGGTTTGGAAGCTCACTACGTAGATCTGTGCCTTTGTAAAAGCCCTCTCCTAATTCTAGGAGTCTTCCCTTGCCATGAAAAAGAGGAGATTAGTGTGTCGATTTTACAAAAAAGTGATTTGGATAGTGTGGGGTATCTATATTACTTTGTAAGGGTAAACCCCAGCTCGGTTCAATAACCAGAACCCAGTGAACAAAGATAACAGTACTCATGTTTCAAGTTTACTTGCTGCAAGGAGAGTCAGCGAGTGACATGCCATGTCAACTCCTTAACCAACTCCCAGCTAGGAGAACCAACTCTCAGCTAGGAGAACCAACTCTCAGCTAGGAGAACCAACTCTCAGCTAGGAGAACCAACTCTCAGTCGCCTTCTCTCAGTGCAGTCTTTTTATTTCAACAAACAGTAACATGAGACAATCATGTGGTGTTGACCAACGCCTTATTTGTTAGTGTGTGAATCTTGTGACTGTCAGTCATGTGAATCTGTGTGTGTGTGTATGTGTGCCATTTGACAGAGAACAGACTGTTCTCTGTTGCTACATAACACATTTTATGAGAACACATTTTATGAGAATACATTAATGAAAACACATTAATGAAAATAGTATATACATTATGAAAACACTTTTATCCTTCAATAAACTCTAACATTCCCTCCTGTTTTTCATAATTACTAGCTGGTTACAGTGTCTTTATAGTCATTAGCGTCAGACCCAGCAGGGTCACTACACACAACACCTCTCCCAACATAGTCTAGTTGTGATAGTGGTTCTGTTGTTTTCTTCACCGGGGTTGAGACCAGTATTTCCTAATGAAACACCGCCCTTTGTAGCCGGACTTCCACCACTTATCCGTCGTTAAGTTGGAGGGGTATTATCTTTTTGCAGTGGCTCTGATGTATCCACGTAGTTCTTTCGGCGATTTTTAGTGCAGTCGGTGTTGTCAGCAGTACCGTGTAGGGACCGTCCCACCGTGGACAGTGCCAATGCTTCCTCTTAATCACCTTCACGAGGACCTGGTCACCAGTCTGCACTCGAGTATCCTGTAAGGGAGTAGAAATGTCTGGCAGGTTATTTGTTCGAGCTATCTCATTACTTCTGAAGAGTCTGCTCATCCATTCAGCTAATGTAGTCTCTGCCTCAGCATCATCCTCCTCCCTCACCTCGTCTGTGATTGGTAGTCTGAATTGCCTTCCTGTTATGATCTCAAAGGGAGACAACCCTTTTGCCGTGGGTGTGATTCTCATGCATGTTTCTACTTTCCTCTCTGTGGTCGCTCATTGCCTTGAGCATTGTCTGCAACATACTACACAGGCTCTACAATAGTTTTTAGAAAATTTAATATAGTTGTATGTATGGAAGTGTTCATTTATTATTGTCACCATCCCCTCCTGTTGAGACATGGCACGGCCCATGACTCAAATGAGCTGCTGTTTAATAGAGACTAACAGGGAGTACTATCTTGTTGTTTATTCTGAATACTTCAGAAAGGTCAATGTGATGTGTGTGGACGTCCTCTTCTTCCTTTTGTACGTCTAGTCAGTTGTCATAACTATGTAGGTTATGTGAAGGGGGGGGGGCCATGTCTTTCGTCTTTGTACCGTCCCTTTTGTCCCCCTTCTTTGTTCTGTGGTCTCTGTTCCTCACAGTCTCTCGCCATGTGCCCCTCCTTTCCGCACCTGTAGCAGAGAAATTTGCCTTCTGCGTTTCTGCCTCCTCCTCTGCCTCTGCCTGTTCCTCTATCATTCCCTCGTCCTCTGTTAAACCCGCCTCTCCCCTGTCCTGGTCCCACAAAGAAAATCTGATTTTCTTCCCCATCTTCTCCTATGAAGAAAGCTGATGCTGACGCTTTCTTATGTTTTTTTTCTTTGATCTGGGTTGCTGCATGTTCTGCATAATTTAGGCACTCTTGTAAGTCGCATGTCCTATGGTTAACATTATGCTTGCGGATAAAGTCAGCAATACCTGGGTGGAAGCCATTCATCAGGCTTTGTTTCAGCTGCTGCACATATGGAGAGTCAACAGCATTGCTGGGTGGAATTCCGCTATGGATACGGAAACAATCTTCCATTCTGATTCTGAAATCTTGTACTGACTCTTTTTCTCCCTGTCTACACCCTGAGACTTTAGTAAAGTCTCGTCTCAGTGCAAAAACCCTCTCGATTGAGATATTTACGGGAGCGAGTGTATTTATGAGGTCCTGCTGACCTGGTTCCAGGGGGTTTCCATTGGGCGAGGACCCGGTGAAATCTCCCTTTACCCTGGCCCATTCGTGGCCAAAAATTGTCATAAGGGTTCTTAAAACTTCATGTCCATTTAAACCATATGACGCTATTAATGCAGTATGGTCAAGGACAAACTGCGCCGGGTCCTGTTTGTATGGAGTCAGTCCCTCACAAGCCTTTTTACACTCATCCATTGTCCATGGGTGGAACACTTTTAACATTCTTTCTAGGTCACCGTCAACTCCATAGTGCGGGTTGGCCACTTGTACTAATGGATAAGCATCACCCTGATATGCTGTTCCATCGAAGGATTGTTCTGCTTCTCTTAATTCTTCAACAGGATATAACTTGGTTTCCCCCTTATTTTTTCTGGTGTGCAGTGGGCTTAATGCATCTGCCATTTCTATGTCGATGCGTTTTTGTGTCTCTCTTTCCCTGTCTTTTCTCTCTTTCTCTTGCTTTCTTTTTATTCTTTGTTCCTGCGCTTTGTGTTCTTCCACTATCGCTCTCTCTTTCTCGCGGCATACAGCGTCAACTGACCCTGAACGCCCTGTCTCCTCGCCTGCTTTCACTGAAACAGCCGCTGCTATCATACCTTCTTCTGCACCACCTGTCCTTTTATGGGCTTGTTCAGCCCATAAAGCTGCAACCCGCAGTTGAGCTTCTAACTTCTTTATTTTCTTGCCTTGTGTTGTTCCAGCTGTTGCTGCTCTCAATTTGTCGCTTAATTCTCTTACTGCTTGGTGTTCCTACTGGACAACGTGCCGGTCAGAACCTAATTCCTAATTCACCACTAGTATACTTCAACAGACCACAGAGTTTTTGTTATCACCGTTAGGTTTCCACTCTGTGCGCTGATTCCACTTGGTGACACTTTTACACACTGCTTTCACTCAATCACTCATAAGTGTACCAAAGGCACGTCAATCCCTCCTCCTAGGCGGAGTAGCCTTTCTCTATCAACGTTTTATCAACCTCCTTAATGGCGGAGTAGCCTTTCTCAACCTCCTTAATGGCGGAGTAGCCTTTCTCTATCAACGTTTTATCAACCTCCTTAATGGCGGAGTAGCCTTTCTCTACCTCCTTAAATGGCGGAGTAACCTTTCTCAACCTCCTTAATGGCGGAGAAACCATTCTCTACCTCCTTAAATGGCGGAGAACCATGTATATCAACTTTTTATCAACATCCTTAATGGCGGAGTAACCTTTCTCTACCTCCTTAAATGGCGGAGAAACCATGTACCGTAATTTTCGGACTATAAGCCGCGCCTTTTTTCCCATTTTTCGACCCTGCGGCTTATATAACGGTGCGGCTAATCTATGGATTTTTACAGCTAACGGCCACTAGGGAACCTCCTAAATCTATGGATTTTACAGGTTACAGTCCACCACCTTTAACAATATGGGCTCTATGACCGGTCCGCGCCCGCCACCTTTAAGCGGCGGGCTCCAGCAGGAAAAGCTGGAGGCCGGAAAAGAGTGAGACAGGTAGCCGCGCCAAGTAAAAGTGGAACCGAGAGTGGTACGAGAGACAGAACGAGAGCAAGACAGGACAGACATTACGAGAGCGAGACAGTTTGTGCAAAGGAAGTTTTCATGCACAAACCCTGCCGGTACGTGCCGCTGGGAGCGCACCGTTTAAGTTTGAAAGTTGAAAAGTTTGTGTGTCTGAACGCTATGTGATACAGTACAGTTTACACAGCACAGTACATGTTCTGTAGCTACTATTGCACTAAATGGTAACACTTGAATACGTTATGCAAACTATGCAACTTGTTTGTTGAAATGTTAATAAATGGGAGCTTCCTCAAACAGCCATCTCTTTCCCGACAATCCCCTCTGTGCACGACCCTTACATATGGTAATTAACATTAAAACCACCTGCGGCTTATCGTCCAGTGCGGCTTAATATATGTACACATCATTCATTTAGCTGCTGCTGGCTTATAGCAGGTGCGCTTTATAGTCCGAAAATTACGGTATAATCAACTTTTATCTTACCCGTTATCTGTGGTCACTGGTCCGGTTGGATTCCGTCAATCGTGCCGAGGATGAGGGAGGTTGGACATATAAGCACCGGCCCGGCCACGAATTCTGCGTCCCGGGTCTTTCTCGGGGTCGGCTGATGATCCCGGCTGTCGACAGACGTGCGGCGTGTCTTTCCCTCCTCCTTCCCGTCACGATGTTTGGATTTCGGCTCGAAGGACCAATTAATGTGGGTATCTTATATTACTTTGTAAGGGTAAACCCCAGCTCGTTCAATAACCAGAACCCAGTGAACAAAGATAGACAGTACTCATGTTTCAAGTTTACTTGCTGGCAAGGAGATGTCAGCGAGTGACATGCCATGTCAACTCCTTAACCACTCCCAGCTAGGAGAACCAACTCTCAGCTAGGAGAACCAACTCTCAGCTACTTACGGAAAGAAACCACTCTCAGCTAGGAGAACCAACTCTCAGCTAGGAGAACCAACTCTCAGCTAGGAGCCCAACACTCAGCTAGGAGAATCAACTCTCAGCTAGGAGAACCAACTCTCAGCTAGGAGAACCAACTCCCAGCTAGGAGAACCAACTCTCAGCTAGGAGAACCAACTCTCAGCTAGGAAGAACCAACTCTCAGCTAGGAGAACCAACTCTCAGCTAGGAGAACCAACTCTCATGTCGCCTTCTCTCAGTGCAGTCTTTTTTATTTCAACAAACAGTAACATGAGACAATCATGGTGGTGTTGACCAACGCCTTATTTGTTAGTGTGTGAATCTTGTGACTGTCAGTCATGTGAATCTGTGTGTGTGTGTATGTGTGCCATTTGACAGAGAACAGACTGTTCTCTGTTGCTACATAACACATTTTATGAGAACACATTTATGAGAATACATTATGAAAACACATTAATGAAAATAGTATATACATTATGAAAACAACTTTTATCCTTCAATAACTCTAACAGATAGGAAGACTGGCAGACATTGAAAGAGGTACAGGAAGCGAGGGAGCACGTTCATTTTGATACAGTTTACCCTCCCAGCGATAGTTAAATGTAAATTATTGGAAAATTCTGATTAAAAGCCATTTCTCAGTCTCTTGCGTTGAAAGTCAATTGTAGTCCATCTGAAGATTTTGCTTTTGCATTGCATTTGGGGTTTTGGTTGATTCTAAAAAAACAATGTCTTGGCTTCCAGAATATCAATCTTTTATATCACATTTATACAATAAATACATTTTTCCCCCTCGGAAAATACACACACACACACACACACACACACACACACACACACACACACACACACACACACACACACACACACATACACACACACACACATATTGTCAGCAAACTTTGAAGGCCTTATTAAAAAAATGGTATCTTGATATTTCGCTGAGTATTTGCAAATATTCAAAAACAATAAGGATATCTTCAGAAAGCTAAGAATCTCCTCTTTCCAGTTGTTTACATAACTCAAAATGTGTATCGGAGTCGATGTGACTGATTTTTATAGAGCAGTTCACGTATATTTTTTTGATGCAGATGTAACCTCACAATGAAATCTCTCTTTATCTGCAGAGTGTCCTTCAAACAGTTGATGTCATTATTGGTGATGATTCAAGAGAGTCCTGGACAGTTCTGAATGCAAACGAAAACAACAACGCAAGCTCTGATTTACTGGGTTCGATGGAACTCTTCTCTGATAGAATAGTTGGGACATTTACCTTTGAGACTGATGCAATCCTCCTCAACAGAAGCACCTTTGATGACTCGTTCTACCTAAATCTGAACAGCAGCGTTGTCCTGAACATTTCTAACACCGGCTTTCCCAACGCCGCTATCACCACCATTACTTTCTACACCCTAAATAATGTTATGTCAGTACGGAACACCAGCCTCTTCAACACCAACACCAATAACACTGACCCCGTTAATGCCCTCAACGCAGCTGTGGTGCTAATCAAAGTAAATGAAACGATTCAGAACGTTACTTTAAGCTACGCCAAGATAAACACGACTCTGACGCAAGATCCTCAGTGTGTATTTTGGAACTTTACACTGTTTGACAACAGGGGTGCTTGGGATAGTGACGGGTGTGAGTTTGTTTCCGATATAAATGACACAGTAACCTGCAGATGCGACCATCTCACCTCATTTTCAATTCTGATGTCGACTGGTATCCCTGAAGAACTCAAAACAATCTTGGATCTAATCACCTATGTTGGAGTTGGGATCTCTATGGCAAGTTTAGTTATATGTTTAATTATTGAAGGATACGTTTGGAAAGCCATAACTAAAAATAGCACTGCCTTCATGCGTCATGTTTCCATCATTAACACTGCCCTCTCTCTGTTGATCGCTGACATCTGTTTTATCATCGGTGCCTTCATTGCCGACAACCCAGCTGAAAACCCGGGACCCGGGAAGAGCTATGATGTTCCAGTTGAACCTTGCAGCACAGCAACATTTTTTATGCACTTGTTTTACCTTGCGGTGTTCTTTTGGATGCTAGTTTCAGGCCTTCTGCTATTTTACCGGACAGTCATGGTCTTCTCCCACATGTCCAAGTCAGTCATGTTGGCTATTGGCTTCTTATTAGGCTACGGGTGCCCTCTGATTATAGCTGTTGTTACTGTTGCCGCCACAGCACCAGGAAATGGATACATCAGGAGAAAAGAGGCTTGTTGGCTTAACTGGGAGCAAACAAGGGCCCTATTGGCGTTTGTGATACCTGCCTTATCTATAGTTTGTATCAACATAATTATCGTAATTGTGGTCTTGTTCAAAATGCTAACAAGAGGCGTGGGAGACGCCGCCCAAAGAGATGAAAGGCATACGCTGGTGGTCATTCTAAGGTGTGTGGCCATCTTGACTCCTTTATTTGGACTGACCTGGTCTTTAGGAGTGGGGACCATGCTAGACTCAAGGAATAGAGGACTCCACATTGTCTTTGCACTCTTCAATTCACTACAGGTATTTGCAACCATTAAAAATAACAACTTGTTCTTACATAGGAGTATTTTTATATAATACCTATTTTTGTCAATTCTTTTGATGTTAAAGAAATATGTGTGTTATTTCATTTTCCTCAGGGTTTCTTCATTTTAGTGTTTGGGACACTATTCGATTCAAAGGTATGTTGTATTTAAAATAGTAATTGTGGATAGATGATTGATACCTCTTTTGATAGTAGGAGTAAAAGTATTCAAATCCTGTAACCTGCCAGAAGGTAAAAATACCAGATTATAACTTAATATCATGCAATGAAAAAGGACTAAAGTCATATCAGTTTTAGCATTGTTATCATATTTTATATTCCATCATGATTTTATCATGAAGCATTGAAACAAAATGATAGAGATATCCGTACCTTTGTGATTTAGTGCCCCCAGTTAAAGATTGTAATTGACATTTACACCATAACGTTGAGTGTGCATTTGTTATGATAGCATTACTTACTGTAAGATCAACACTAGCAGGTTGACAACTTTGTTAACAAAGCCAAACATCAAGAATCAGAATCAGAAGTCCTTAACTGTCCAACGGCAGCAACATTTACAATGTTACAGCAAGACCAGTGCCAAAGCAAGAGTACACAACACAATACATAGAAGGCCGGCTAATCAGCTCATCTGGCTTATGTAGTCCTGTAGTTCAGGCTGTGTTGACGCCGTCACTTTGTAATGGGAAAATAAATACTCCAAAGTGAAGAAAACAAGAAAAACTAAACCTGCCAATTTTAACAGAATTACTGGAAGAATGTTTTCGTCTACCATTTTGTAGTGAAGAGCTGTGGATCTTGGAAATACTGGTAGCCTAGTTTTAAGCCCTTGACTATAAGGAATATATACACATGAGTGAAATGAACTTGCTCACTCCATATAACTGGCTGCAATCTAATTACAAGAATGCACTCAAAGTAAAGATATAAATATATCAACATAAAAACGTATAGGTGTTGCCGTCTCAAGGGCTATGAACGAAGGATGGCACAGGAATAGCATGTATCAGCTTCACTGGAGCACACATGCCATTTTAGGATCACTAAAACTATCTTCCTGTCATGTAAGAGCGAGCTTAAAAACACACCAAATGGTTGGTGAAGCCAGAACAGAGGGTCTCTATCTTCCTTGACAATGATGACATGCTGTATTCCAGCCAATCGTGGCTTGCAAAAAGAGCTTGTTTTTACTGCTTCAAGCTTTGTTTTGCAATCCATTGTTTTATCAAAGGTAAACTGGTAATTGTTACATGTGAATAGAGGATTTAAGGGCATATTTGTTAAATAGTTATCTCAGTAATGGATTGGTTTGAAAGAGTTCTATACAAGTTCAGATAACAAAGTGTAACACAAGGGCAGTACTCTAGCCTACTGGGCGAATATGCTTAGCAGCCCCTCTAAAGCTCACAAGAGAGTTAATGCTAATTATAAAGCAAGTAAGCTTATTTTCTCTAAAATGTTGTTTACAAATGTTAATATTCCTGAATGTTTTCCGAATCGCACATAAATTGATTGAGATTAATTTGATTTTCCTGTAGATCTGTTCTATCCTCGCAAGAAAATTGCCTGCAACAAGCACAGGCTCCAATACAACAAGAGTAAGTCATTTAAAGTGTATGCAGTTTTTCTTGTTCATAATGTTTCTACCCATTAATTAACAAAGACATCCTGCAATCACCTATTTATACCATACAACATTTTTTTTCTACTTTAGAGTACAAGTGGTGGCATGTCCTCCACTGGACTGAACTGGTTCCATCGACTGCGTGGAAGAAGATGCAAGTTTTAATTTTAAATTGAGCAGTTCTTTTAATTTACTGAGATACATTTTCCCTAATTACAATTTGTTATTTGTCTTTCAGATGTCTATCACATGTCAGAGGCTGCCAACTCGGGCAGTGCTGGTGCGTCAGAGTCATTCTCCAATATCTAAATCAATGCATGGAACCGTACACATTATTTCATTAGGGCTATTTATTCAAAATATCTGACAGTTATTGTAGGATTTTCAGCACATAATCAGAAATGATGCAGTTTACTGGGATGATATTGTAAGAGACAGACAACAGACATGGTTAGTTTTGAAATCAGCGTAGTTTAGGTCCTATAGGCAGCATTAAAATATGTTTGCATTGTAAAGGTACTGTTCTGTTACTCAAAGCCCTAGGAAAGCAAGTGTGACACAACATTGTAAATGAAACTGAAATTACATTTTATTTTGAAGTGTGAAATGTAGTGGTGCTCTGAATCAATGACGTGCAATGATCAATTATTATCTTGTAATGTACAGTCGTAGTGAATCATACCTACTAGTTTCTAGGTGTTTCATGATATCATTGATAATACCATGTCTATGTTCCTGGGGAAAAGAGCATAATACTTCCTACATGAAAAGTAGCTACCGGAGATATAACAAAGTACCTGTATCACAAGTTTGAACGGAAAATGTTGCATACTTTCTACAGATTCATTGTTAATGCAGTTTGTGCAAATGAACGATGACAGAGCTCCAAGGTTATCCACCTTGAAATGGGGTTGGGGCAGGGCGGGTGCACCAAGAGTTTTGAAAGTCTGCATTGTTCCGAAGACCCACTATTCTGAAAGCCACTAGATAGAAAGAATCCATTATTGTCCGACAGTCCGTTACAATAGCACATTACTCCAAAAGCCAAGCCTATCCAGTCTCTGATTGTGTTATGTTATTATGAGAGTGCTTTCATACTTGTTTGATACTGAAATTGTATATATTTATTAGGGCCGGGACTCGATTAAAAAAATTAATCTAATTAATTAGAGGCTTTGTAATTAATTAATCGAAATTAATCGCATTTTTAATCACATATAAATATTTGACCTAAGAACAGTGAGAAGCAATTTTTTTCACATGGATTTTAGTATACCATTAGGCGCATTCACACCGCAGTACTTTTCCCACAAAGGTTCATGAGAATTTAGTTCATGAGAACTCTTTGAACCTGGGGGTGGATTAGGCAAATGAAGCCGCTGACGTCACTTCTTCTTCTTCTGCTTTGGGTTTACTGGCAGGCCGCAAACCACTTCACGGCGTATACTGCCGCCCAAAGTCCCCGGTCGGAAGTCCCCGGAGTTGGGGACTGGCTTCAGTAGAAGCTGCTGTCCCGATCCGAGTAAATCGCCAGAACGCCGACACCTCCTCATCTCCACCGCTCCCATGTTTTATTTTGTGTTGCCATAAGTTAGTCTCTCTGCGTTTCTGCGCTGGGCTAATGCTAATAATGCTAATGCGAGGATAATAAAATGGCGGCTTCACAAAACTTTTTGGGAGTTTTACGGGGCGTGGTTTGCAATCCTCCCAGCCAATCAGAAATATAGCTCTTTTCTCACAAGAGAGCCGTACGAAAGTCCCTGCTCTCTAGCAGCTCTCTGCTCTCTAGCAGGGACTTTCGTGGGGGTAAAAAGGTTCTCATGAACTAATTTTAGTACCGGCTCTTTTTGGTGTGAACGCGATAAAAGACGCTAACGTCCACGCTAGCTGCTATATGTTTTGCATTGAGGTGATACTTGAGGCTTGATGTGCTGCGGTGATATGCGAATTCCTTTTTGCATAATTTGCACACAACCGTGCTCTTATCGACGCTTCCATCCGTCCGTTTTTTAAAAGAACATTTCCCACTGTTGTTCACTGTGGTTTGTTGTTGTCTGAAGTCATGAACGTTAGTTGGTTCTCCAGTATAATCGATATGCCTGAAACTCATCCAGTGAGAAACGTTCCGCGGTGCAAAAATAAGTGCGATTAAAATGCGTTAATTTTGTGTAATTAATTAATCTTAATTAACGCGTTAAAGTCCCGGCCCTAATATTTATATAAATATATATGTGTGTGTATATGTCCGCATCTGTAGCCTGTTATTGTCTCATTATACCGCACTGTCAATGAATTAACTAGACATACTATCCATTTAGGGCAAAACCTAAACAAAAAGTGTAATGGTGTAAAAAGATATTGATTTTTAGTAGCAGTGTAGCTCAATAATGCATGTTAGCTAAACAGCAGCAGTTGAAGGAAACAGAAATTAAATGAAACTAAGTGTAATGTTCATTGGCCCGCCCCCCCCCACCAAAAAAAAACGCTCGCCATAGAGAACCGCAGTGACGCGTCGTAAAACCCGGAAGTAAACTTCTTCCGCTTCCTTCGTGAAAAACGCAATGCAAATTCTCCATAGAATTTTGGAAAATAGCGCGAAATAAGGTCTGTGGTTGACACACATTTAAGAGAGGGATCACGTTTTGTTCAGCCGGATAATCTCCACATGTCTACCCTACTTTTATAATTTTTGAATCATAAATCTAGTCGCCAAAAGCGAAATGCTAACGTTATGCTATAAACTAACTACAAGCCAGTACAGCAGCAGGGTCGCACGACTTCAACGTCACGCCAACTTAAGATCGTTTCAACTGACTTGCACTGAAACTGCACTTTGAACACTTTAAATATATTAACATTTTAAACTGTATACCCCGGTTATCTAGGCCCTTTTTGTTTTGTTTAATGTATACCCCGTTTATCTAGGCCCTTTTTGTTTTGTTTTATGTATACATGTCACACTGTGGGAAATGATATTTCGATATTTCTGGATGTATAACACATGTAGAATTTTTGGCAATAAAGCTGACTTTGACTTTCGCTTGCTTGCATATTTTAACAAAGCTTTTCATTTGAGCCACACTGAATTTCACTAGAAGTCATGGCTGTGTCAATTACCAGTCTGATATCGTTTTACTAAGACGACAAGAGTGTAGATAGAGGAGAGAACCACTACAAGTCAGGACACGTACAACAGTGCAGCCGAGATGAAGATGTGCTTACCGGTGTTGTCAGGGCTAGCATGAGGGACAAGGTTTATAGTGTCGGTGAGTAGTGATAGCAAGAGTACCGTTAACCTAGAGTTAATTTATTCACATTAATTCCCATCAACAAATCCATTTTATGTGTCACATGAAATCTTTATTAGGCAAGGCAAGTTTATTTATATAGGCTATAGCACCTTTCAACACAAGGCAATTCAAAGTGCTTTACAAAAAATGAAAGACATTAAGAAAATGGAATTTAAAATCAGTCATTAAAAAGAAAAGATAATAAAAGAAACATTAAAAGAAAAAATACATGGATACAAGTTACAGTGCAGTCTAAGATATGAATAGTTCAATTAAAAGCAGCGACAAAAAGAAAAGTCTTTAGTCTGGATTTAAAAGTAGTCAGAGTTGCAGCGGACCTGCAGGTTTCTGGGAGTTTGTTCCAGAGCATAATAACTGAACGCTGCTTCTCCATGTTTAGTTCTGACTCTGGGGACAGAAAGCTGACCAGTCCCTGAAGACCTGAGAGATCTGGATGGTTCATCATTTAGCAGGAGGTCAGAAATGTATTTTGGGCCTAAACCATTCAGTGCTTTATAAACCAGCAGCAGTATTTTGAAATCTATTCTTTGACACACAGGAAGCCAGTGTAAAGACGTCAGAACAGGAGTGATGTGATCCACTTTCTTAGTGTTAGTGAGGACTCGAGCAGCAGCGTTCTGAATCAGCTGCAGCTTCCTAATAGATTTTTTAGTGAGACCTGTGAAGACACCATTGCAGTAGTCGAGTCTACTGAAGATAAAAGCATGGACAAGTTTTTTCCAAATCCTGCTGTGACATTAGTCTTTTAATCCTAGATATATTCTTTAGGTGATAGTAGGCTGATTTAGTAACTGTTTTAATGTGACTGTTGAAACTCAGGTCAGAGTCCATGACTACACCTAGATTTCTGGCTTTATCTGTTGTTTTGAACATTGCAGACTGAAGCTCAGCGCTAACTTTTATACGTTCTGACTTGGCTCCAAAAACCATTACCTCAGTTTTATCTTTGTTTAATTGGAGAAAGTTCTGACACATCCAGTCATTGATTTGTTCAATGCACTTACTCAGTGTTTGAATTGGAGCATAGTCTCCTGGTGAAATGGTTACGTAAATGTGTGTGTCATCTGCATACTGTAGCTATGGTAACTTATTTTGTTGTTCTTCATTACATTACCACATCAGCATGTAGACGTTAAAGAGAAGAGGCCCCAAGATTACAAATATTACACACCAGAAAACACAGAAATATCCATGAAATAAACATATAGTAGGCTATAAACAATTAAAGGGATAATTGGGAAGGCATTACAAATGTAAATATATTTTAAATAATAAAACAATCCCACCACCACAGGTATCTACAGGAGAAGAGGGAATTCTCTCCACAAAATGTGAATGCCTACGTGGAGAATGCAGTCATTAGCCATCTTTGCCATCCACAATTGCAGCTGCACTCACACCCCGTCAGTGGAAGAAGCCAAAGGCAGCTAAACGTACGCATTCAGTGGAGGAGCTATTTCCTCCAACCAATAACTCATTCAACCCGCTGACAAGAGAGCCCAGCTCCGAAGATCGTGACTGGCTGAGGAACAGACTCTGGGGCAGGTTATCAGAAATTTCTTGGCTTCTCTCCCCCGAGCCAGAAGAGGAACACTACAGCTTGGAAACACTTACTGTTCCTGAAATTATCAAATCTGTTGGGCATCAGGGACCTGAGGCAATTGTGGCAAGCATGGCATTGTCTGAAGAGCAATAGAGGGCAATTCAGGTGGCTACCACTGGTCAGCGAACCAACCCAAACTGGCATTTGTTCAGGAAAGGAAGGTTGACTGCCAGCAACTTTGGAGCTGTTCTGAGGTCAAAGCGTGTGACTGCTTCCCTTATTACCAGGGTGCTAGGGCAACAACAGGCCCTTGATGGTGTTTTGTCTGTACAGTGGGGGACTATGAATTAATGTGAGGGCGTCAGGGCATTCACCACTGCAACACAGATGCAGGCCCCATGAGTCAGGTTTGTGGCTCTCCCAATCAGGAGTGTTGGGGGCATCTCCAGATGGTCTGGTAGGGTCTTCCGCTGTGCTGGAGGTAAAGTGTCCCTACGGAGCCAGGGAAATGACAATTAGTGAAGCATTGCAAATCAAGGGCTTCTGTGTCAGTAAGGAGGGAGAAACATTCAGCCTGCGTGAGGAGCATCCTTACTGGCACCAAGTGCAAGGTCAGCTTCACCTCACTGCAAGAAAGAAGAAGAAATAAAACAAATGTGAATCGTTTTTAATTTACATTTACTCGCCTTTGCAATGTTGTTGTTGTTAGAGTGTTAGGCTTCCTGTCAGCTCGTCTGTTGGGAAGATATACAATATTAGTTTCATGGAAGTCACACCGTCACATATAAGAGCATTAAGACATACAGTACATAGGCTAAAACAAAACATCTAAAGATATAACCTTGCACTTTGTCTCGTGAACATTTTCACTATTTTGACATTTTTATAGATGAAAATTGAACTAAAGAAATAAATGGTAGATTAATCCATATTGAAAATAGGTGTCAGCTGCTACACTAATTATAATAGTTATATTTCTTAATTAATTAAGATAAGATATTACTGTATTGATCCCAATTTGGGAAATGTTTGTGTTGCAGCAGCATAACAAGAAAAACAAAATATAAGTTATTATATAAACAAAAGTATGTGAGGGATGGAATATTAAATTGAATATAAATGTAAAATGTACATGTGATTTTACGTCCAAGAGAAGCTATGGAGCAGAGAGTTCTCTGCCAGCCAGAGGTGATTTGTTATTAGTTCAATATGTCAAACTGATTTCCCTGACTACAATCTTTAGTTACATGGTGAAACGTTATGCTGCTTGTACTAATTAGACTTATCATATAAGCGACACAGGTTTTAATCATATGTATTCATTATCTTCTTTACTTATGTTGCAGTCTTTTCAGCAGCGCCATCTCTAAAACGGCGATACAGTCACTACCCATCATTTACATTTCACCGTGACATGGACAAAAATGTAACGTCAGCTTACCTCATGGCACGAATCCAGACTCTCCTTTGGAAAACATTGCCCGGGAAACGATAGAACGAGCACGTTTCATGCGAAGACCTGTGGCTGCAACCCGGAGCAAAGCAACAAACCATTGCGTAGCTAACTAGTAGCGCTAGCTTTAGCTAACGTTAGCTAACGAAACGAACTGCTGAGTCAAATTGGAAAACACTGGTAATTAATTATTCTATAATTTGTAAAACTACGGTGTTAAAAACGACAATTTCAAAAATACAGATTATAATGGTCAGCTATAGATATACAGATACTAAAGATACTAAAGATAGGCAGGTACTTGCTTTCAAGCAGAACACTACGGTGGCCGGCAGGTGCAAACGCTAAACAACGGCCAAAAACACACACATAAGCAGGAAACACCTGCAAATAATGAAATGAAAAACCAACAAACCCTGAAAACACATACAACAGAAAAACGCTGCATTTACAGAAATGATGCAAGCTAAACCTACAACAGACAAACCCTGAAAACAAACGCAACAGAAAAACGCTGCAAATACAAAAACGATATGCAAAGTCAAAAGTATACAATCGAATAACACGTTACAAAAAAAAAGACATTACAAAAAAAAAACATTCCGGAAGTGCTTCAGGCCTCTAGGGGGCGCGCTACGTGGAACAGATTGATGTATGACCAGACATAGAGAGAACGAACAAGAGGAAAGAAAGTTCATTTAAGTGGAGAAAGATATAAGAAGGTAAGTTTTGTTTTGTTTTTATACATAGAGCGTCATATTTACGTAGCTAGCGTTAGCGTGTTTGATCAAAGAGCTTGCAAGAGCCATTGTGCACCTAAATGTAACTCTTGACATAATATAGATATAGTATAGAACCGGGACGCCCCTCCCTACACGCAGATCACACAGACTGGGTGGGGTCTCACGCCCTCACCTCGTGGATGGGACCTCAACTGAGCCGCAAATGCGATGCGGTGATAAAAAGGAAATCAAATGTAAAAAGTTGAATTAAAATATTAAAACAGCAACACAACATTATTCCCACATTAAAAGACAGTCTGAAGAGGTGTGTTTTGAAGGTGGGGGGGTCGGTGCAGTCTCTGATGTTTAATGGGAGTGAGTTCCAGAGGGAGGGGGCAGCGATGGAGAAAGCTCTGTCCCCCCAGGTTCGGTGCTTGGTTTGTGGGGGGATAGACAGGAGGTTGGCTTCTGATGAGTTAATTGAAAGACCGTTCTTTAATACTATTATAATATTTAGGTAGCCGAAAAATATCCACTCTTTTTGACTTAACCTAGCTGTCCTACATTTTATTTCTCCACAGATGTACTATCCATTCTGTGGTTCCAGCGTGACATCTTCGCATGGCTTTTGTGGTGTCTGTGGCAGAGACATCACATTTCTAAAAGATGTGGCTAACAAAGTCCCTGAGGAGATGCCCACCACTAGTGCGTATCTAAGTGCACAGCCTAGCACCAGTGCAGGTAAATAGGTTGTTCGTTGTATTACCAAACAATAAGTATTTATAGAAAACTTGGTTTAAAAGTTCGAATTCTGTTATTATACAAATACATCTCTAAACTATGTGGCTTACCTACTGTTGAATGTGTTATAAGATGTTCCTCAGAAGGGATTGAGGATGAGACTCCTATTGAACATAATGAAGAGTAATGAATGTTATATTCCTGTTTTTTTGTAGCAGGAAGCTCAGCTGTAGAGTCCCATTTGCATATTATTGTCTTTTTGCAGATTTCTGTTGGAGTAATGAGGAGGATGGATGGCTGCCTTAAACCTTTGAGAGGGAGGTCACTTCCCCTTAATGTCGAACCTCAATGGGCATGTGAAGAACTGTTGGCTGCTGCCATAAAAAAGCAGAAAGCCTTTAACCAGGACTTGGAAGATGGTGCCCATGTCTTGTTGTACCCTGATGCGAGGGTGATAACAAATATCCCCGGAACGGACACCCCTTTCACAGTACAGATGTACAAAGAGGCCATTGGAAAGCCCTACCAACGAATTACGTTGTACATCTGTACTCTTGAAGCCGTTGAAAACAGTTGTAAGTGCTTTTGACATATATTCCCCCTTGTTTAAAGCACTAAACTGTATAATAGTTCAAATGTAAACATAACAGTTGTTCTGTCTATATTTCTTAACACAATTCATTCCACCCATCATTCCTTTCTCTTCGTGGTTGAACTTATGACGTCAAATGGTCTTTTATGAATAGTGGCAGAAGAAATGGAATTTAAGTATCAACAAAAGCTTCCAAACTTTCCTTCTGTTCAAACTGTTATAAATTCCCTCTTAAGGATTGTAATTCTAAATTAACCTTTTTTCTCACAACAATGTTGGTTTGTTGTGCCCTAAATCCTAATGTGAGAGTGAAAAAGACGGTCAACAATATAATGTACATTTCACAAACATTTTGTGTTTCGATTGAATCCTTTCTGATTGATGTCAATCCAATAATTCAGGATTCAAACCAACATTTGATGATAGGTACAGACGTAGGGGAACAATTATTTGTATAGTATTAATCATGACACTTTTATTTTCTTAGGTTACACTGGAACAACCTCTTCAAGTGACGAGGACAGTGTGGTTGTTGCAAAGTTGCCATCTGGAGACAGTCTTGCTGACACCGTGGTCAGTTTGGATCTATCGTGGCATTTATTCTTAATTAAAGTGAATTTATTTTATTTCAGTCAGTCATTTGTGTGTTGTATGCAGGTGTGGGACTTTCCAAATGAACAGAGCACTCCCAGAATGGACAACAGTTTGCCAGGGTCAAATAAAACATTGTCAACATGTTATTTTGTGCCACAAGAAGCAGAATGTTTTAACAGTACAGTAGTTTCAATATATTTTTTGTTTACCTTTATCAGACCTCTCAGGCACCCACAACCAGCGTCTGATCGGGTAAGACTAATTAAAAATGTAATTATACCATGTAGGTTTGAATTTGTGAACATGAAATCAATAAATACCTTTGTGTGCTAATGACACTGTCATTAGATAAACTGCATCATTATTTATTGGGTAAAAGTAGGATGGAGAACCAACCCCATTCCAGGAAGAGGTCCAGTCTGCCCCGGGTCAGAACACCTTCTATAGGTAAACGATGTTGACAGTTGCATCGTGACACAGTTGTTTGGTGTGTATTTTTATTTGTACATTTGGTTGTTTGCATAGCCTCCAATCACAGTGGGTAATATTGCGAGGAAGCAGAACAATTATACTTTCATACATTTCCAAAGGACACCCACAACATCTTAGTGAAGACGATACAAAAAACACCCACAAATATTTTTCAAAGGTCAGATATTGTTTGTTGCATCCATTTCAAATGTTTACAAGGATTGTGCAGGAGTATGACAAAGTGCTGTTGTCAGTTTAGAACCCAATGTATTAAAAAAAACCAGGAAGAGGATCGACATCCTTTTGCAAATATGACTGTCATGCATATATTATGTATTTGAAAGTCATTATTCAACTGTCTTCTCACTGCAGCAACTACACAACTGTGTATGCACTTATCATTATTGACAGCCAGTCTGAGCCAGAAGAGGAAACGGAGCAAACTGCAGAGGAAATGTATTAAATGTTACTTTTATCACTTGATTTTTTTATTCTATACTGTAAATCTTATTATAGCTTCATCATTTAATATTGCAATACATCACTTTGTCTTTCCCAGCACAGAATACCTGACTGCGCCAGACATTGTTGCAGAACTCTCTGCAAAAATTAAAAATACCTCTTGCAGCAGGTTCAATATTAATAGAGCCAATGTGTGGGATGGAGCAATCCGCAGCTTCAAAGTTGCCTCATTCGACCCCTCTCATCAGATGCAGGTTAAGTTTACTGATGATGAGGGACAAACTGAGGATGGAGTGGACACTGGTGGTCCCAAGCGTGAGTTCCTGACCCTCCTAATGGAATGCCTGAGAATGAGAAGAATATTTGATGGTCCACAGGACAGGAAATTCCTCAAGTTCGACAATGCAGGTAATGATGTTCGCAAATCTGTCTTATGTTCAATACTGTACTGTAAATATAGGAGCTGCTTATGGATTTTGCAGCTTGATTTACGTGACAATTACATTATCTTATACTGTATATCTTTATGATAACGTGGCAACTGTTGGTTAACGTGATAATAATTTAACAAAAAATATCAACAGCTGCAAAAGATGATGAATACTTTCATGTTGGGAGGATGATTGCAACTTCTATAGTTCAAAAACACAAGGAGAAAAAGAAGAAAACATCATGTCATGGCTCACTGTCTCAAAATCTGATTCTAAATGTATAATGTTCTTTATAAAGATATAACTAATACACAATTATGAATGTATAATATAAGCTGTTTTGTGTATTTAATCATGCATTGGTCTACAATTTAATGATGGCTTCTACATATTTCACATAAACAGACAATGAAAAAATGTGTCCTTCATGCTGATAACTAGTGTATGCATCTGCCAATTAGTATTCTAAACAGAGTAGTGTGTTGAATCCTTATTTCTTGCATTTGAAACAGATACAATACAAAAAGTGAACTTACTGTTGTGTTCAACTTCTGCCAAAAACTGTACATGTTTGCCACAGGAGCCACAGAGCACTTGAACTGTCCCCAGATGTTGGCCACAGAAAGGACAAAACATGGCAGCCTGAAAAGACATACATTGATGTAGTAAATCCATGTAATCAAGTCAATCAAAAACACATAGTCTAAATAGTGGTTAGCTAAATAAATAGATACATCATGTTCACCGTTGAATCTGTGATTTGTCTCTCTCTCTCCTTGAATGTCTAATGCACACTACTATCCTGTCATTACTTTGTCCCTCTTCACATTTTGTCACTTTCTCTCTCTCTTTCTCTCTCAATTCAATAGCTTTATTAGCATGACCATAGTTACAGGCAATTGCTAAAGCTCTGTATAGTTGCAACATCTATACACAAATACATAAATATAAACAAACTGCTAAGAATTCAAATGTCCTTTTTCCGCGGTACTCACTATGGCCCGTGTTATTTGCCTGCACTTGATTTGTCATCTCTTTACAATGTTCTTCCCTCACTTTATCTTCTCTTCACGTGAAGCTCTCCTCCCTCAGCTGGTGTAGTAGTTAGGCACGCTAACGCTAGCTATATAAATATGACGCTCTATGTATAAAAAAACAAAACTTACCTTCTTATATCTTTCTCCACTTAAATGAACTTTCTTTCCTCTATGTTCGTTCTCTCTATGTCTGGTCATCGATCTGTTCCACGTAGCGCGCCCCCTAAAGGCCTGAAGCATTTCCGGAATGTTTTTTTTTTGTAATGTCTTTTTTTTTTGTAATGTGTTTTTCGGTTGTATGTGCTTTTGACTTTGCATATCGTTTTTGTATTTGCAGCGTTTTTCTGTTGCGTTTGTTTTCGGGGTTTGTGTGTTGTAGGTTTAGCTTGCATCATTTCTGTAAATGCAGCGTTTTTCTGTTGTATGTGTTTTCAGGGTTTGTTGGTTTTTCATTTCATTATTTGCAGGTGTTTCCTGCTTATGTGTGTGTTTTTGGCCGTTGTTTAGCGTTTGCACCTGCCGGCCACCGTAGTACACAGGGGAAAAACAAATTTAGCGGGAGTGTTTACGTGTTAGGCGTAATGACGTACAACGGCCTTGACAATTTCTGTAGTCCTATTCAGCCACTCGGTAACAACCATCGTTTTTCAGACACGTAAACTCTTCAAAAATCACCAGTGGGGTCACTGCTGATGTATTTAATGTCGTAGAACAAATCGTGATTTATCTCTTAAATTTGTGTCAACCACAGACCTTATTTCGAGCTATTTTCCAAAACCCTATGGAGAAAATGCATTGCTTTTTGACGAAGGAACCGGAAGTGCTAAAAATGCTAACTTACTTCCGGGTTTTACGACGCGTCACTGCGGTTCTCTATTAAGAACTTGCTGTTAAAATATGTATAAAGTATAAATATGTAAATATATAAAGTTGTTTTATTTTTTCATAAATGTTTTTTTATTATAAATGAAATGCTTTACAAGATTTAAAGTGTTTTCTCATAATATAACACAAAGTATTGCCTTCCAACCATGTTATTTTGCTGTAAATGATTAATCTTTCCCAATAAACAGACAAATTAGAGCACTATACATAACATGTTTTGAAGATAGATTGGTTCTTTGACATTCAATATTGTATTATGTTAAAGGTGACCTATTATGCAAAATAATAATAATAATAATAATAATAATGGGTTTCATTTATAAAGCACTTCATATTTGACTTCAAATCCTGAAGTGCTACAAGCAGTGAGCATGAACAGTATAAAAACATTACACAACACGGTAGAATTAATAAAAAGCAATAAAAACAAATAAAATAAAATAAAAGGGTGGTAATAAATAAAAGCTCGAGGGAAAGGCTCTATTGCATAGATGGGTTTTGAGGCCTTTTTTAAAGGCCTCCACGGTCTGTGGTGCTCTCATGTGGTTGGGGAGAGCATTCCACAGACTGGGGGCAGCCGAGCAGAAGGCCCAGTTTCCCATAGTACGGGGCTTAGTCCTGGGGGGTTTGAGGAGGTTGGAGTTGCTGGAGCGGGTGGTCCGCAAGGAGGTATGGGGGGTGAGGAGTTCCTTGAGGTAGGGAGGGGCAGTTCCATGAATACACTGGTGGGTGAGGACGGAGACCTTGAATTCGATCCTCAGTTCCACAGGGAGCCAGTGTAGTGATTTAAGGATGGGGGTGATGTGATCGTATTTGCGCACCCTCATCAGGATCCTAGCAGCGCTGTTCTGAATGTATTGGAGCCTCTGGATGCTTTTGTTAGGGATCCCGATGAGGAGTGCATTGCAGTAGTCCAGCTTGGAGGAGACAAATGCGTGGACTAGCTTTTCGGCGTCAGACAGAGTGAGTGTGGGGCGGAGTTTGGCGATGTTCCTGAGGTGATAAAAGGAGTTCTTACACAGCTGTTTAATGTGAGCCTCAAAGGTCAGATGGGCGTCCATTTTCACACCCAAGTTGGTGACTATTGAGGAGAGGGTAATGTCCTGGCCGGAGAAGGTGGTGATGGTGGATGACCGAACCTGGTGTGGGGTGCCACTATATTAGCTTCGGTCTTGGAGCTGTTGAGTTTCAGGAAGTTTTGCTTCATCCACGCCTGTATCTCCTCCAGGCAGGCAGTGAGTGTGGGTGAAGGCAGGGCTGCAAAGGATGTACACTGTTAAAAAAATTACAGGGTATTTTACAGTAAATTACTGGCAGCAAAGTAGCCAACAAGTTACTGTATTTTTACTTTACAGTAGCGATCCTGTATTTAGTTGACAGTAATAAAATCAGTACTGTATTTTTACTTTACAGTAGCGATCCTGTATTTAGTTTACAGTAATAAAATCAGTGCTGTATTTTTATTTTACTGTATATTACTGTAATTTTGGAAGTTGCTGTAATCTCAAAAACAATATTTTACTGTGATTATACAATACTTGTATTGTGAAAAAAAAGACATTACTGTAGTTTATACAGTATAATTTTACAGTAGTGTATGCATTAAAACAGTATATTACTGCAGTTTTATCTTTACCCACTTTTACATTACATTACATTTAGCTGACGTTTTATCCAAAGCGACTTACAATAAGTGCATTCGACCAAGAAGATACACACTTGAAGAACATGTTTAGATCCTTTTCTATAAATATAGGTGCTACTGTACCTGAAACGATAAACAAAAACCGGGATACAATTTAAATAAAATATGTTTATTGATTTGATTTCAATGTTAAATTCAATATAAAAAAAACAGATTACAATACAACAGTTCATAACAGATTCAATTGGACAGTTCATAACAGATTCAATTGGATAGTTCATAACAGATTCCAATACAACAGACCAATTCAAAATCACAACAGTAAATCTTCTGTAATTATATGAAAGTAAAAGAAACAAAACTGATCCTGGAGGCGATATTTTAGTTAGAACTTGATTCGAAAAAGAAGTACGCATATGGGGTCTCTCTCTCTCTCTCTCTCTCTCTCTCTCTCTCTCTCTCTCTCTCTCTCTCTCTCTCTCTCTCTCTCTCTCTCTCTCTCTCTCTCTCTCTCTCTCTCTCTCTCTCTCTCTCGGTTGTGAGTGCGGCCTGTTTAAAAGAACAAAAACACCGCCCGTTGAACGTTTCCAGATT